GTAGGCCTGGCGTGGTGGCTCAGGCCTGTATTCCTAGCACTCTGGGAGGCCGAGGCTAGTGGATTGTTTGAGGTCAGGAGTTCGAGAGCAGCCTGAGCAAGAGTGAGACCCTGTCTCTACTAAAAATAGAAAGGAAATTAGCTCGTCAACTAAAAATATATAGAAAAATATTAGCCGGGCATGGTGGCGCATGCCTGTAGTCCCAGCTACTCGGGAGGCTGAGGCAGGAGGATTGCTTGAACCCAGGAGTCTGAGGTTGCTGTGAGCTAGGCTGACACCACTGCACTCTAGCCCAGGCGACAGAGCGAGACCCTGTCTCAAAAACAAAAAACCAAACCAAAAAAGCAGAAATTAGGGGCTCTTGGCCCTGCATCCTCCCCTCCCCCTGGAAGCCTCTCTCTCTTCAGTCGTGGAGAGAGCCGGGTCCCAGCTCGAAGCAGCCCACCCTGAGGCAGCAAGGACAGCCCAGCCGGCAGGGCTGACAGGCCAGCCAGCATTCGCCCAGGGAACCGCTTCAGCGGCAGCTCCGCGCTGCCTGCCGGCCGACAAGGCCCTGCCGCTGCCGGGCTAGTTAGGAGCAGCTGCAAACCACCCACAGCGCTGCCTGTTTGCAGCAGGGAAGGGCTTGGAGTGGCACTTGTCCCCCTCGGTGCCTTTGTGTGCTGGTGAGTGCACACGTCCACACACACACTCATAGTGATGGTGGAGGTGAGTGGACATCCCGATCCAATGGGACGCGTGACTGCGAACGTGCCCTACACTGGGCCCTTCCCCTGTCCAACACCCAGAGAGCAGAGGGCCGAAGCTGTGACCTTCCAGTGAACGCCGGAACCTCGTCAAAGACGCCACAGAGCTGCAAGAGAGCGGGCAGGGGCCGGCAGGCTCCCCTGCAAAGTGGGTCCCCGCCTGGGGACTTCCTCAGGTGACCAGTCTGCTCGCACAGCAGGGCTCTGGGTTCACACCAGGTGTGATTCAGTTCTCCACTGCCTCCCAGACCACCCCTGTCCTGTCTTGGAGTCCCCCTGAGCCCAGCTTACCCAGGTACTCTGCAGGCTCCCGCCCCACCTCGAGCAAGTCTTCTGGACAGAATAGTGAATTAAAGAGAATGAGAGTTTTCTGTCATAAAAGACAAAATATGTCTAATACTTCCCTATAGCTCTGCGCCGGCAACCTGGTGCCTTCAGCAGGTTTGTCTCTGCACTGAGATGAGAAGTGTCCGGAGGAGAAGAAATAGCTGGCCCAAGGTGGGGAAGCCTCTCACTCTGGAGTGGGATGTTCTGCGGGTCCAGGTAGCAGCTCAGCCGGAGGGAGCCCCTTGCTCCTGCCCCGCGGCTGCCCGGCGGAGGGCGCAGTGGTGAGAACACGCCGCAGGCTCGTCACCGGAGGCGGCTGGGAGTCAGGGCAAGCGTATGAAAACGCCAACTAACGACCAGGCGGCCTGCTTTCGGAGGAAGGCGGTTCAAGCCCACGTGTATGAGCCCAGTCGTGCTTGCCGCCAGGAGCTAGTGACACCTGTGAGCAGGAGAGAGCGGTCACGTCACACAAATAAATGATGAGAACTGACAAAAGAACAGTGAGCAGGACCCGGATCCATGTGGCCAGTGGGTTTGCTCGTGGGAGAGCCACGACTAACAGTGGCCTCAGGCTGTAGCAGTGGGTCGCAACACATTTGGTGAACTGTATGTAGGTCGGGGATCTCCTTGCAGAGAAAAAACTCAACGGAAGGCAGGCCTAGGTGCAATTCCTTTATTGTCATGCCCCGGCACTCAGGCTGGCCTTGCCTGAGATGGGCTCAGGAGAGGGTGTGATTACAACGAGAGCAACTTCTCTATACACAGCGGGTTAAAGCATCTTCTCTGCGTCTAGGATGCTGTGATGCCCACAGCGAGGGCCAGCTGGTCCCAGGAGCCCATGCAGCCTCACTAACCCTGGGCTGCCTGGCGTGCCACATGGCCTTGCAGGGGAGGATCGAGGGTGTGGAGGCATGGGGCACGGGGCTGGGAGCGGTGCTGCGACGGGCAGCCAGGTGCTGGGCTTTCCCAGGCACGCAGACGGGTGGGAAAGGGGGCTGGGGCGTGTATGTGCTGGCTTCCAGGAGGGGCCCAGGCACCGGCCTCCTGGCCAGGGCCACAGGCCATCGGGCAGGGCGGGCGCTTCCTGGCTGGCTGTGACTGACATGGTGGCGCGCCTCACCACTCAGTGCACGAGTGGGGACGGGCTCGGCTGCTGCGGGTGGAACTCAGCTGGATGACCTGCGGGACTTGTGATCCCCGAGGGCTGCGGCACATAAAGGAAGGTGGCAGTGTCCTTCGTCGCGTGGTGGGAAGCAGTGGCTCTCTCGCTGTGGTTCCTGCGCGGGCAGCAGCGGCGTCACCTGTAGAACTTGTTAGCAGTTCGAGTCATCTCGTTATTGGCTCTGCCGCTCCTGATTAGAAGCTCTGGGGGGGCAACCTGTTTCGAGAAGCCCCCCCCCCCATGATTCTGATGCTCAAGTGTGAGAGCCACTGGTTTAGACACTTGGTCTCCGCGTCCTTGGGGACGTGAGTGCCACCCATCGGTGAGGGGAAGACTGACTTTGCCCGGAGGCAGCCAAGCCCTTCCCCTGCGCAGGCCCAGGGTGGCCAGTGATGACAGCGACTGTTCCGGTTCCATTTTCACTCCCCCGACTCCAAACTCTGGAGAGGGGCCTAGCGTGGCAGAGGGCAGGAGGGCCCTGGGGCACATCACAATGACCTGCCTTACACCCGGGGCCATGCGGGGCCCTTGTGGATCTACCTGCCTATGACTGTGCGTAGGGTGAGCTCTGCAAGGCAGAAATCACACAGTGCCCCCCCTCCCTAGCCCCAGTGGGTGCTCCACCCGGGGGAGGAGGTCACCATCACCACCGAGGGCGGCCCCTGCCCAGGGCGGCTCTGGGAGTGGGTGTGACCTGAGGATTTCTCAGCCCCCGATGGGGCATGAGGCTCCACACCCCGTGTGAAGGCTCCTAGGGCTGGGCAGTCCCTGCTCACTCTGGGGCCAGCATTGTCCCCTCAGGCTCCCGCCTGCTGCCAGCCCCCACCGGGAGGCCCGGCACACGTGCGGGCCAGCGCGCCGGGCCGGGACTCAGGACTCTGCCCCATAGGGAGGGGCGCCCAGCTGCTGCTGTGTGGCAAGCCCCCCAGGGACACTGTCCCTGAATGGCAGCCTGATGGCTCGTCACAGAGGAGGAGGCTGAGGGATGCTGAGGACAGGGGGTCCCAGCCCAGCGTTCTTTCGGCCCCTGCCCCTGGCTGGGGTTGCAAGACAACAGCCGTCACTACCGACGGGCAGTCTCTTACCTTGGCCGAGCCTGAACTTCCTCACCTGTGAAATGGGAGAGACAACACCCTCTCATGGGGGCAATGCAAGGCAGCGTATTTACGGTGACGAGCACATTCTAAGTGCGTAGCGGGCCCTCGGTAAACACTAGTGACCCCCTGGACACCCCTCGGTGGCCATGCCTGTGGGCTTCTGGGGCCAGCGCACTGCAGGCAGGGCGGGGAAGAGAAGCACCAACATTCATCCCTCACTGAGGCCCAGCTTCTCCCCTGCCTCCCCCAACACACATTGCCCAGGGCACCAGGGCACGTGCCGTTCTCTCCGTGTGTGCCCCTGTGGCTGGGGAAGGCGCCGTGCTGTGTTCAGGGAGACGCAGCCTCCCTGGCCGCAGCCTGGGGAATCCCGGCACCTGAGGCTTCTTCCCAAGCCCCGGCGTGCAAGGCCCTCTGCCCACACAGGGCTGACGGTGACGTTCCACGGGCACGTCCTTCTCTCTCTCCAAAGGCACTCAAGACTGTGACAGCCTCCAAGCAGGGACCTGGGAGGCACTGTCCAGGCACAGCCTGCTGGGCGCCGCTCCGGAGCCCGCTCTGTGCACTGCCAGGCAGAGCTGCCGTCCGCGGCCTCCCTTGCCTCTCACCCAGCTCATCTCCCGGGCCGCTAGCACGAACGAGGAGGCCAGAGGTATTTCCAAGCAGCTCTGGGATTTCTACCACGTTCTGCAGCTTGGGCCGGCCACCCCTCCAGTGGCGGTCTGGGACGGACGGTGGCAAGTGCAGGAACCACAGCTGGTCCTGCCCCCCGCCAGGCTGGCCTGACGCACGCATGGGGTCAGGGTGGATGGCTCAGGCTCTCCTGGGCCTGCCCTCGGTGACAAGGCTATGCAGTGAGCACCTGCCTGTCCCCACAGACAGCTAAGGCCACAGCATCCCCTGCTCACTGGTGCTGGCCGGTGCCTGGCGGGAAGAACAGCTGCAGTCCAGCACCCTGACCCTTTCTCAGGCCCCACTCTGTACGCTGGGGAGGCACGTCAGGGCTATGTTGGTGACAGCAGTGAGTGACCTTCAGGTCAGTCCTGTGATGGGAGAGAGAATGCCCCTCCCCCAGGACTGGCCCAGGTCAGCAGGAGCTGGGCCAGCCACTGCGAGCCTGGTCACATGGGGAGGCAAGGTGCGCTCTCTGGCCTCAGCAGAGAAAGGTGCCGTCCCTCCCCATGGGGAAGTAAGAGGGTCCCCTCTGGGGGCACTGTAGGGCCTGAGAGGCGCAGAGGAGGGTTTGGGGCTCTTGTGTCACGAGCTGCCCACTTGTAACAGCCACTCTGGGGGAAGGGTCCCATGGTTGTCGTAAGAACTGATACGCATTCTTCGGAAAACCACGGGCATGTATGGCTGTATTTCCTAGGATTTTCTGTTATCCTTTAGTACTTGGGAAAGTCCTTCCTGAAAATTCGTTGCCTAATTCTGTGACACAAGAGAGAACAAAAGGAAGGGACTGTGTCCACTGTGGGACAGGTGGCAAGGGAAGCAGAGTGCGGCCCCCGGAAAGCAACACGGTGGTGGCCTTGTGGTCAGGGGAGGGAGCCCTTGGAAAAGTGAGGTTCAGGCAGAGTGCCCTCTGCTCAGAGCCTTTCCTCCTCAGCACCCCGACTCTGCAGGGCCTGTGGTTTTGTCCCTAGGAGAGGAGTTTTACATCCACCAATATTAAGAGCTGAAGATAGTTTTAACACCTGGCATTCCTAAAAATCAGGCGCCGGAATGGGAGAACCCTGAGGGCATGTTACTAGAGGCTGGGGCCTGGGGCCGTGGCCTCCCAGGGGGACTTCTCCTGGGAAGGCGGCTGGGCAGGGTTCGGGCTCTGCTCCTGGTGCAGCGGGTGCTGGTGCCATCATCCTCTCCCCACCCCCTCCGTCCTGCCCTGGCTGCTCCATCAGCCTATGCCTCCCCTCCCAGGCCCCGCAGGACACCATTCTCCAGGCAGTGCGGGGAGTGCGCAGGTCTCCGAGGGAAGAGCCAGCCCCACCTGCGCCAGCTCACACCTTTCCCAGAGGGGACAGCAAGCTGAGGCTTCTGAGGGCCACTAGAGGACTCAAACGCAGAATGTAAGGGGCCTATAGGGAGCCAGGTTTGCAGCCCGCTGTTCCGGGTTCTGGAGCTGGGAGGGAGCAGAGAGCCCAGTTCTCTCCCTCCCAGAGCCCACGGGCACCCCGTGCCTGGTGAGGGCCTCTGGCCGTCCTGTGGCAGGATTCCTCCCCTGCCCAGGGCCCAGCGGGAGGGCTCAGCAGTGGAGGTGCGGGCGAGGGCCCTGTGTCGGGGGCAGCAGGAGCGGTGGTCTCAGGCACTTGGTGGACTTGCGGGGGCAGGGCACAGAGGAGGGGCGCCTGTGGCCCTAGCAGAGCTGGTACTAACTCTGCAGTCCTAGCAGATCAGCATGTGGGCACCTGCCCTTGCCAGGGGCAGTCGGGTGGGGTCGCCATCAGTAAAGATACTGCTGGAGCCTCCGGTGCAGGCAGCAGGTGAGAACCATCCCGCAGATCTGCCAGGGGAGAGAGCAGAGGAGCAAAGAGAAGTCAGGACCCCCTGACCGCTCACGCTGGCATGCACAGGCCACCCTGGGGCTGGGCAAAGGGCAGTGCCCAGAGGCTGGGGTGGGGCCTGAGAGCTCAGCTTTCTGACCAGCTCCTGGGTGAGGGTGGGGTGTGAGGGGACCACACAGAGTGCCACTATCCCAGAGCAGTGTCTTTCACACTTTAATGAGCACAGATCACCTCGGAGCCTCACGAGATGGCAGGTTACAACTCTGCAGGCCCGGGGAGCCTGAGAGTCTGTATTCCTAGCAAGCTCCCGGGCCAGGCTGCTGGTCCCGCCTAATTTAATCAGATCCTGAGTGGTAATATTTCCACTCCCTCATCAGAACCGTCTGCAGCAGTCCTGGTCTCTAGGAAAGAGCCTGCCTGCATCTTGCTGCTCTCAGACTCCAGAGCACAACTCAGGTCCCTTGTCCCTTCTCTGGCGATGCACAGAAACCACTGGGGAAGCTGAGGCGCTGGGAGGAGCGCCTGGAGCCGTCTCCAGCCCCTCCTGTAAGTCAACACACAATGCAGCACCAAGCCAGGCCCTAGGAGCCCTGCCGGCCAGCCCCTCCATCGGCACCCACTAGCTGGACAAGAAGGGCACGTCCCGGCAAGTGCGGGTTTGGGAAAATCACCCCCATCTCACTTGTCCCGTTTCCACAATGCAAGGGCCTTTATTCTCCCACCTTGCTCTTCACAGGCCCACCTCCACCTTCCTCCTCCTCTTTCTCTCAGTCCTCCCACCTAAGGACATATTGAGGGCAAGGAGCCCCATGACTGTCATCATGATCCTAATGATGATGATGGCATGTCACTGCATCTCAATTCTGTCCACAGGAGAGAGGCTCTGGGATAGGGCAGCCCATGGCTGTCCCGTGGCACCCGGGGTGAAGGCAGATTTCTCTAAGTGCAGGAAACTCTTCCCATAGGTGCTGAGACCTGACCTTGCTGGGGCCAATCGGATGCACATGGAGCTCTAGCCAGTGGGTGGAGGACAGGCTGGAGATGCGTGTGGGCTGGCCCCCGCCTTGTCTTTCTCTGCAAGGCTAGCTGAAGGAGGTAGCAGAGGGGCAGCCCGTCTTCTTCCCCTCCTCCACCTCTCCATCCCACCCAAGCTGGAGGACAGTGGGGAGCACGGACACTGCTTTCAGCGTTCACACTGGGTGCTAAGTGCAATGTAGTCTGTCTTGGGGCCTCAGGGCACAGGCTGACAGGTGGCTCAGAAGGTTGCCTGTCTCCCATAGCTGTGAGCAGGTGGCTGTCACAGCCATCCACCCTCTTCCCTGTCCCCACCTCATGGCTTGATCATTCTCCTGTGGGCTCATCTGGATCTTTCTGATCTGTGCTAAGGGGGAGGCTAGAGGGAGATGTTGGCCCAGCACAGATCGGTGCGGCAGGCTCCGTCCATATCTCCTACGGTGTACATCTCATGCCGGGGAGGGCTGGAGGCTCCTCAGTGGACACACTTTTGCAAGACGTGTGTGTGTTCCCAGGTGCCTCCCGGGAGAGGCACAGTACAGGTGGAGGGTGTGGGCCATCTGTGCGCACGTACACATGCAATCACATGCACAAACTGCACCCTAAATCATGCAAAGGGGTAAAGGATGCCCTCATCAACGTGTATCCACACGCACACAGCCCACCTGAGTCACGTGGCGGCTAAAGGATGTTAACCACCATGCCCCTGAGTGAGCGGCATCTCCCTCCTGACAGAGGACGCTGAGAAACCGGAATGGATGGCTCGAATCAGCCAGCAGGGTGAGCAGAGACAACACAGGACAAGTTAGCTGCAGGAGCTGGAGACGGCAGCAGGCCAGGGCAGGCTCTGGGCCCAGCCCGCGTGGTGCTCTCTGCTCGTAGCTGCCTGGGCGTGGCACTTGGCCATACGTGGGACATTTTTAACAGGGAGGCTGTCATGCATTCAGCTTCTTATGAGGTTTCTAAGTCAGCACCTGATTGTCATCAGGCAGCATGAAGGAAGCGCCAGAGAGGTTCTGGGAGCTTGGTTTCCCTGTTAGTGACTTGCAGATCCCAATCTTGACCATCTTGTGAGTTTTCTGTGTTCTAAACCATGTTTCCATCTTACAATGGGAGAATGTATGGGTGGTAGTGGGTTAGGTTCTCTTTGGGGCTTGCACCAACGGGCTGTGTGACCTTGGGTACAGTTATAGCCCTCTCTGAGCCTTAAACTCCTCTTCATCAATAGGAAAGCCTCCAGTTTATATACTGGTCCAGGGCCTTCCCTGGTGAGATTCTTAAAAACTAGAATGACAAGGACCAACAGCACAGCACCCAGCCCTCCAGCACCCTGAGCCTTTGAGAGGCCTGGCTGTGGCTCCCAAGGGCCCTCAGGATAAAGACCCCACTCTCTGTCCACCGGCCAGGACTTTGCGCATGCCGTGCCCTCAGTCTGGCTCTTTCCTCCCTCTTGTCACTTCCTGTCAACCTCCTTCTGGGCTTAATTACATGTCACTTCCACCAGGAAGCCTTCCCTGACCTCTCCTGACTGGTTAAGGCCTCCAGTGTTTACTCCTCAAACCCCAGGGCGCACGCTAACACAGCATGGAGGACTGGACCGTGGCAGCCCATGTACTCGTCCGTCCCCTTCTCTCAAGCGCAACTCCTTGGGAGAAAGGACGGGGCCCTGCCCGAGGCGGGGCCCAGCACTGGCACAGTGCCTGGTGTGCCGCGGCTCTGCGGCCACGTGGACACAGCGAGTGCCCCTTCGCCTCCCCTGCAGGTGCCTCTCCTCCTCCCCTGCAGGTGCCCTGGGCGGAGGCCTGCTTTGTGTAAGGCAGGCTGCAGAAAAAGAGAGCTGGGCCACTGTGACATTTTTAGTAAAACATTGCCCAGCCACAATATTCTAGAAATTAGCTCCTAAAGTTCCCTCAAAGTGGAGTGCCTCCAGAGCCCCCCACAAGAAGAGAAGCCGGTGCAGAGGAAAGAGACCCATGAGTTGGGGTGCTGGGCAGCCCTGCCAGTGGCGTGTGTCCGTTCCAGCAGGGCTTGGCGTCCTTAGATGTGTATGAGTATGATGGGCGCAGGCGTTTGCAACCTGAACACACATTAGAATCACCTGGCGGGGGGGTTAAAAAATACCCATGCACAGGCTCTGCACAGGCTCGGCCCAGGCGGTTGGAGCCAGAACCTGTGCAGATGGGGCCTGGGCAATGGCAATGCGGAAACCTGATCCTAATGTGCAGCTGGACTGCCGGCACTGGCCCCGCAGTCTGTAAGGCCCTTCCACGTGTACGCGTCTATGATCTGGGGGTACCCCAGTCCCTCAGGACTCTGCTGATCCTGTCCAGGTCTGAAACTGCCTCCAGTGTCGTGAGCGGAGGAGCCCGTGGGGCCCTGCTGAAAGAACAGGAGCACCCCCAGAATGCAGGACCTCGGCGTGGAGGGGCCTCCCTTCTCATCCCTGCCAGCCCCCAGCCTCGGCCCAAACCTGCAGCTGCAGAGAGCTTAGTCCCTCTGCAAGGACCGCTGCTTAACAGTTCTAATCGTGGAAAAGTTCTCGAACCTGTCTCCTTGTAAATTCCACCTACGGTTCTGTGTCCTATGGAACCTCTCAGGAAAAGTCCCCTCCCTGCCCCACGTGACTGCCTGGGTGTTCCCAGATGGTGACGGTGCTGTCTTCCCGCATCTCCTGACCCCTCACCTTCGACTTCCAGGCCCACGTGCCCCTTGCCACGCCCTCTGCGTCGGCCGCACCGTGGGATCCCCAGGAGCTGTCCACAGGCACTGACGTCTGGGTGCCGGAACTGTTGGGCTTTCGGCCTCCGCCTGGGGCAGTTTCAAGGCTCATCAGGGGGGCTCGATGGCAGCCAAGGGTGAGGACCACTGCCCTGGAGGCTCTGTGGAGGTCTGGACCACCCGGGACCATGATTTCTACCCGTGCAGGCCCAGGCTGCATCTCCGTGGGCAGCACCCTGCCACATAACTCGGGCAGATGTACGGCCCTGTGTCGTCGTCTTACATACAAAACACTACAGAGCTCCAACGCATGGACTCAGCTCTGTTCACTCTTCATCCCAGCACATCTTCCCCACCCCCCAAGGTCTTTTCTCAGTGCTGGCTTTATCATTCAGCAGACCAGCCAGCCCTGCAGGTGTGGCCGTTGTCAGAGGGGACTAGCATGCTACCTGGGTCTCCACTGAGGTCACCCAACTTGGAGGAGACAGGGCTGAGGCTGAAGGCTGCAGCCCCCCTAGAGACCTTTCACCAGGCTGACATTAGCCCTCCCATCTCCCTGCGACAGCATGGTCCATGGTCCCCCGGCTGCCACGCTTCCTCTCACCCACGCCCAGTGCCTGGCCCACGCGTCTCCGCGGCAGTGAGGGGCCATTGCCAAATACCCGGCCGAGATCAGGGCTTGTTATGCTCGTTGGATTTCCTTCTTAGTTTTCAGAGTGTTCACAAACCATCTGCTTTAACATTCTACAATGTTGCAGGACATTAATCTCAAAATAATTTGGTCACTGAGGTGGAAAGCTTACCAAAAACTGACAGAACGTTAGAACCAGAAGGTTCTTGGGAGGTGCGGTGGGCCCACACTTTCCAAACTGTATCAGAAACTCCAAGGGTAGCTCAGGGCCACAGAGGGCAGTGAGGGAGGCTGTCACACTGGGCTTACCCCTGCTCCTATCCACTGCTCACCTTCTATGCGTCTCTCTATGGGAGATTTCCATTGATAAGAGGATGCTGCTGCTTAACACGGGCTCAAAAGAATCCAATCCCTCCATTTTGCAGGTAAGAAACTACGGGCTCAGAGAGGGAATGTGACTTTCCTGAGGTCACACAGCATGAGGTGGAGCTATGTTTAGAATCCAGGTGCTCTAACTCCCAAGCAAGATGTCTTCCGGTTTCTGGGGACCAGGGAATATTATGACCCAATCTTGGGCTGGTATCTCCCGAACCTTGGGAGTCTTCAGGATGCCAGGCTGGGTATGTGGGAGAGGCATGTGCCTGGTGTCTGCACCGGCTGGAAGATGACTCTGAGCTGGGGGAAGAGGCCTGGGACCAGACTTTCTCAAAGCTTCGGCCCACCTGCAGTGCTCGGGCGGTGGCCGGCAGAGGGCGCTCTAACCCGAGGCCTGGCAGGGCTGGCTCAGTGGCCCGCGGGGGAGAAAAGGCAGCAAGGGGCTGAGATCCAGCAGGAGCCATTCCTGCGGGCCATGGCGGAACAGAGAGGGTCACGGTGGGGGTTGTGAGTGGGCAGAGGTGTCGTGGCCTGCAGGTACACTGCCCGGCGACCTGGCCTCCTCCACCTCAGACTTGCACAGCAGGACTGTTCTATTGACCTTAGGCTTGGGGCATTCGCAGCCCCACTCCCTGCCTCAGTCCACTGCCCGTCTGCACATTCTACAGGCTCTTGAGGCCAGAGAAGTCAAGAAGAAATGGACAGAGTGGCCCAGGCCCGGTCGGTGTCCCTCCAGAGCAGCCCCTCAACACCTGAGTAACAGGTTTCTGGAAACCTCAGCTGAGCCAGGCACTGGAGACAGAGCAGCCCTTCCCCAGGTCCCAGTGAAACTCCTCTGGGACAAAAGGCCTGCCTTGGGGCAGTGCAAAGGGGGATGCTAAGGCTGCCGGGGGCTCCCTGGCCCTGCAGGGGAGTGAGAGTGAAGGGGAGAAGGTTGGCCTGGCCAGTGAACAAGTGAGATTTTTTTTTGAGAGACAATGTGCCCACGTAGAAATGATAAAAATGATGGGTGTCATTTATTGAACATGTGCTGTCTGCTCAGCAAAGAGCCAAGGGATTTGCATGTATATTGCTAATGTATATTGCATGTATATTGCTTTTCACAGCCACCAAATGAATTATAATTAGCCTCATTTTACAAACAAGAAACTGAAGCTCAGAGATGAAATCACTGGCCCTAGGTAACACACAGCTCTTAGGTGGCAGGACCAAGATGGCTCTCTCTCCAGAGGCTAGGCACTCTAGCTGGCTCCTCCAGGCCACAGACACTGTGGGTAGGCAGCACGGTGAGCCGAAGGGACCCTATACTGCAAGTGCCTCCGAGCCAGCTGCCGCCCCCTGCTTCTCTTTCCCACAGACCTCTTCGTCAAGGTGGGAAGTGTGGGAAAGAAAAGGCCCAAAGCCAGGAGACCTGGGCGCCAGTTCAGGGCATGAGACCCTGGGTAAGTCACCTGTCTGATTTGTAAATGGGAGAGCACCTGTCTGGCCTGGGGCTCAGGCTGTCGTGGGGACCCAATGCGAGGAAGTAGCTGCAAACCTCTGGAGTCTGCAGATAGCTGGATAAAGGCAGCTTCCACTTACAGAGGCCTTCCTGTGTGCCAGGCACTGTAAGTGGGTCACACGTATCACCTCATTCTTATGTAGACCTTATGAGGCTGGGGAAGTTGCCCACATTGTGCATATGAAGTAGCTGAGGCACAGGGAGGTTAAGTAGCTCGAGGTCACACAGGAGCAAAGCCAGGATAGGACCCAGGTCTTCTGAGGCCGAAGCCTGGACAGAGCTCAGAGCCCTGGGGTGGGAAGGGCTGGGAAGGCTGGGAAGGGCTGTGGAGCAGCCTCCAGAACGGCAGCCCTCGCCCAGCCCCTGCGGGGTGGAAGCAGGCGTGCCTGTGAGGGCGGCTGGATCTGCCCCAGCCGAGGAGGAGTCCCTCCTGGCTGCCCTGCCGTGACCCTGGACTGGAGCACTCTGGGAGAGTGATGCCGACTTCCTGCATGGCGCTGGGTGGGGGGTGGAAGGGAGACACGGGAGCCAGGGCATTGCTCATCCTCAGGGAGCGCATGCGTATAGCCGTCCTGGATATCAAAACCCACACGGGCTCGAGTCCCTCATGTGAAATACCGTGGCATTTGCTGACATCTGTGCACAACCTCCTGTTCACGTTGTCATCTCTAGGTTACGCATAGTACCTAATGCCATGTAAGTGCGATGTAAATAACTGTGATGCTGTATTATATCGGGATAATAAGGAAAAATGTCTGTATGTGTTTACAGATGCAGTCATCTATTTTTTTCCTAATATTTTTGATCCACAGCTGGCTGAATGACTGTACACACACACACACACACACACACACACACACACAGAGGAAGGAATGAGTGCAGGTACATGCACACACACTAACAAGCACCCCTAAACACATATATGTGCGTGGCCCAACCACACAGCCCCAGAGGCATGCAGACACTCATGGACCCAGGCACGCCACAGCAGCTGAGCACACGCTCCCACGTGCACACACACAGGGTGCATGCACATACCTGAGCCCACACGCATACTCCTCCCAGGTCCCTGTTCCTCACAAGTTCAAGCTGTCCCCCGGGCATTTTCCTTCATGTTCTCTGGGGAAGAGACTGACCATGGGATTCAGCCTTGCTTGCAAAGGGAAGGGGAGAGAAGAGGGCAGAATAGGGCCGGGGTGAGCAAAGGGCCAGTTATTTCAGCCCAGTTATGTGAGGTCTCTGCCAATGGGAGAGAGGTTCTGAGCTCTTCCTCACAACCCCTTCTCCTAATCCCCCCACTCCAACTCACCTGCAGACAGGCCACCCCGATGCCCACTGCCCCCATGAGTAGCAGGTGGTCAGCCAGGAACTGCTCTAGCTTGGTGATGCAGCCTCCCTGAAAGAGAACGGCAGGTTACACGGCCATGCCCGGAGCAGGAGGGGAATGGTGGGGAGGGCTGCCTGTCAGCCATATCCAGCCCGGACCAGCCTTTGACTTGATCACAGGCTTCTGGTGTGGGCCCAGGGGGCATGCCCAGTGTCCTAGAATCTCCCAGTAGGAGCTGCTTGTCCCCAGGGCTTTGTAGAGACCCCGGAAGGCCCTGGGCACTGTGGTGTCATGGCAAGGACTAAGTGTGTTCTGCTTGCCCACATCCATCTGCCTGGCCCGGCCTTCCCAGGGGCTCCTGAACCGCCAGGCCGGGCCCTCTCCTGCCCCAGCTTGAGCTCGGGCGCTCACCTCCACCTTGTAGATGTTGGAGGGGTGGGCCCGCTGGCCACAGCGTGCCACCACCGTCTTGCAGCAGCTGTCGGGCACCCGGCGGTCCTCAGCCTCCCTCGACAGGATGTAGGTGCTGTGCTGCCAGTCGGCTGAGCTGTTGCTTCCACAGCACTTGAACTGGGGGGACAAGCAGAGGCTGGAGGTGAGAGGAGGCTGCATGGGGGGCCTCCCAGTCCCCGGGCTGCAGGGCTACAGGGCACAGTGTTCAAGTACTGGCCCTGTAGGGGACTGACACATATTTTCCTAGTTTAAGAATTAAAGTTAGTGAGTAATGTACGTGTTCTGCCCAGAGTGTTTGAAAGTAATGTGTTCCAGACAGACTCCCTGTGATAAACATAGGTGTTGCCTAGAGGCATAACAAAGGACCTGAGCTGCGAGTAGCAAGAGCGGCCCCGCCCCACGGCATTGGGGGTCTGGAGGCCACACGATAAACATATTGTTCCTGTGATTGCCGCGTACACCCCATAAGATGGCTGGTTAGTCAATGACGGGTAGGACCCCTCAAGGGAGGGGCGACCTAAGCCAGGCACAGCCGCCGGGGGTTCAGCCGAAGATCTTAGGGGGTCACCCTAAGAGAAACTGGGGATGAGAAATGCCCCGTGGCTCACCTTGCCCATCCTTGCTAATCTTGGTCCTTTATCTATGCGTAGTACCTAAAGCAACCACCTGGAAACATTGAGCCAGGGGATATCTGCTTCCCTAAGGCTGTTCCGGAATTTATGGCCATTGCTGCAATGCCTGGGTGGTTACGTACAAGAAACTAACTTTAATTTTTTAGAGTATAAAAATAAAATGGACCCAGTGTATTATTACTCAAGCCAACTGTCTGTGTGTCTGCGTTTTTCTTTGTGTTCTGCATTTGTGTTTTATGTTCTGTGTTCGTCCTCCGTCCTGCAAACGGGCCACGATAGCCCCAAACCCTGCTTGTTCTCCCTGCGATCTTCTCTTCTCTGGCTTTGAGCAGGAGCTGGTCATTCTCCTCAAGCCTGGTTGGTGCAGAATTGCCCACGGGACACCCGTCTGCTGTCACTTGTCCCCTGCTTTAAGGAGATATGCTTGTGTCCTGGGGGCAGGGCTGTCTGTGGGGTGGGCGGGAGGGTGGATGCGGCAGGTCCCCAGAGAGTGAGGCTTATACCACAAGGTGCAGAGCTCAGGCAAGGCCATGGGTGGGGGAGGAGGGGTTCCTGGTAGCCAGGAGGCAGGACGTGGGGACAGGGACCCAGTCTTGCCAGAGGCTCCTGGCCCCAGCCAGGCTCTGAAGCGGCAGGGCCCCAGACCTGCAGGGGTGTGGAGGGTGCCGGGGCCCACGGTGGGGGTGATCAGCACCGACAGCTCCCTGCCCTCCTGAGTCCGGGCCCTGAGATTCAAAGTCCCTTCCCAGGCCTGAGAACACAGTGACGCTGGGGACAGGGCATGTGTGGGTGGGCAGGTGGGGTGGAGGCACATTCGGCTCCACTCACGAGTGTCTGTTAGGCACCAGCCTGTGCCCGGAGTGAGCCAGCACGAGCAAGGCCTGGCCCTGCGCTCACGCACACGGCGCTCACTGCCGTTGCGCGCGAGGACCTAGGGGCGTGCGCGGCTCGGAGGAGGAAGGGCCGGTGCGCTGTCCAGGGCCAGGAAGGGCTGCCAGGGCGGCAGGTCCTCGGGAGTCGAAGCAGAACATGGCAGCGCACATGGAGCAGGGAGCGGCATGGCATGGGTCGCAGTCGCGTGGGACTGCGCACCTGTGTGTGTCCGCCTGTGTGTGCTGGCGCCACGCCACTGCTGTCCCCTTGTGCAAAGGGGACAGCAAAAGTCCCTACACGCCGGGCAGCTGTGCGCACTGAAAGAGGCGATTCACACAGAGCACTCGGCAGAGAGCCCGGCACAGAGCTGCAGTTAGTGAGAGACGCCGACTTTTGTGATCAAATTGTGTGTCCACACCTGCACAGGTGTCACTTCCATACACGTGGTGCCGCTGGGGGGCCTGACGCTGGCCTGGCTCCGAAGCCACTGCCTTCTCGGGGCTCAGCCTCCTGTATGACATTCAAGCCGTGGTTCTGTTCCCGGCCCACGTGACGGCCTGTGTCCATGGCCTCGCTGACGCCCACCCAGGTCTCGGTCAGCGACCTGCCTTCGCCCTCAGCCGGGCCTGCCCTGATGCTGGCCCCACCCTACCTGCCACCACCCTGACTCCTGCCATGACCTGCCCCGACCCTGACCTGTCCCCGCGCTGACCCGTTGCTGCCATCCTCGCCACCTCAGCAAACTCTGCCCCTGCCCCATGGAGCTCTGCCCAGCTCCCTGCTTCTACTCGGAGGGTGCCCCAGCCCAGCACCGACCACGAGTGGCCTGCTGTGCGTCTGCCTTCTGAGTACGCTCCTGGGGGCAGGGATTGCGTCCTGCTCTTTGTCTCGCACGGTTCCTCCTGGTGTGGCCCAGTGAGAACACACTTGTTTTGCACAGGGCTGACTGGCGTGTGTGTGCCCCATCATGTCCCGAGCAAAGCCGTGGGGTGTGGGTATGCACCTGTGCATGCATGTGTACCCCTGGCCACTAGGTCAGCGAAGAGACCCCTCTGTGCGGTGCTGACCGGAGCTGAGCCTGAGTCTTGGGGAGGCAGGGAGGGGCTGTCCCCACTGAACCTCAATGTCCCTGGAGCTCGGAGCTTACCACCTCTATCTCCTCTACCTGCCTGACATTCCGGGGTCCAAGACCAAGGCCTCAGGCTGGCTGGGGGCAGCAGGGAGCAGCGGGCCCAGAGTGGGCGGGTAGGACTGCCTCAGTTTTCCAACACGGGCCATCGGGATCCTAGAGGAGCGTGTCCAGTGGGGCTTTCCGAGACAGAGGAAATGTGCTACATCTGTGCTGTCCGGTTCGGTGCTCGCTGGCCATGTGTGGCTGCTGGGCACTCGCCATGTGGCCGGCGCGACTGAGGAACTGAATTTTGTATTCAATTTAACTGTGGATAGCTGCATGTGGCCAGTAGCTGCCGCACTGGACAGCACAGCGCTGAGGTCCACTTGCCTGTCCCCTACGTCTGGCCAGCACGGTGGCCTCCCTGGAGGGATCTGCTCGCCTCTCTTGGAAAGGGGACCACCGTTCTCCCCCAGCACTCTGCCTGAGCACTCGCAGCCGGGAGTGGCAGCGTGCCTGGGCTCCCTCCGGCTGCTGCAGCTCACTGTGGGGCCCCACCCCCGCTTCCCGCAGAGGGGGACCCGCAGACAGAAGCATCCAGGAGAGTGCCTTCCTCGCCCAGGGCCTGCTCCACGGCCAGCCTCCTGCCCACAGAGGGCCCAGAGCAGGAAGGAGCAGCGTGGGGTTGGAGGAGGTGGTCGGGGGAGCCACGCGGAGGCAGAGGCAAAGGAGGAGGAAAGGAACCAGGAAGCGCTAGGCACTATCCATGGTGGCTGGGGACTTCTGCAGATGTATCTGATGCTCACACACCCTAAAGAGGCTTCATTTCAGGGATGTAGCAGCTAAAGCTCAGAGAGGGTAAGTAACTTGCTTAGGGTCACACAGATAGGAAAGAGCAGAGTCAGGATTTGAACCCATGTCTGCCTGGCCCTCAAGCCCACAGATCACAGCTTACGTCCTGCTGGAGACGGTCCACCGAGGCGGTGATCTCCGTGGCTCCAGGCTGCCCGTAGTTCTCCGACAGAGTACGGTTCAAGTGCTGCTTCAGCTCGTCGCTCAGCTGAAGAGGGTGGGAGTGGAGGAGGCATCAGCGCCCCCCCCCCCCGGTCCAGGCACCCAGGCTGCCCCCAGCCTGCCCAGCTGACTCCAGGACGCTGCGGGCTGCGGCGGTGCAGCAGCAGGGCTTGTCAGCAGTGTCACGGGGCTGACAGTGGAGACAGCGCAGAAGACGTTCGTGGGGAGGGCGCCACAAAGACGGGCCTGACACGGCCGCAGGTGCTGTGGGCAGAGCTGGGACGGGCTTGGGGATGGCTCGGGGCAAGTGTCACAGCTGGAAACTGGTGGGAGGCCATGGTGAGGCCAGACACAGGGCTGCTCTGAAATGTCTGTTTGTTTTAATTTTGATTACGAGGTGACATCCAAAATATTTGCAATGGCTATCCTGTGGGCACCTTACAAGCACTAGCTTGAAACAGCCAGCAGGGCTGTGCTGTGTCTCTAAGTTGAACGTCACCTTGGCCACGACCTGGAATCCCCGAATCAGAGGCCACCGGGCTGGGGACGGACAGGACTGGGCAGGGCACTTCAATCCAGGCAGGCAAGGCCTGCGCCTGTCTTTATAGTCTAGCACCAACCCCCAGCCCAGGCCTTCCTTCTTGGACGTCTTTGCCAGACGGGTTCATCCTCTAGATCATCCTTGGAAGGGGCCAGGGATGACCCAACCTCCCCGGGGCTCCCGCCCCACTCCCACGTGGAAGACATCAGCGTCTGCAGACGTAGCAGAGCATTGCTGGCTGTGACAAGCAGCCGGGAGCCAGAGGCGGGAGGACTGCTGGGGCCTGGGAAGCGGGACCACCCCGTGTGTCTGCCTCAGCCTCCCAATCACAGTGCACCCCGGCAGAGAATGCAGGGGGAAGCACGCACTCACCCTCTGGTAATACACGTGGGCCAGGATTCCCGCCACCAGCTCGACCAGGAAGATGACAAGCAACAGGCAGAAATACTAGGAGCAAGGAGAGAGGAGGTCACCAGGGCGACCTGGCACCCCCATGGCAAACATTCCCCCAGAGCAGTACGGGTGGCAGAGACGCCGCTTCCTCCTCTCGCCAGCAGCTCTGGACCCACCAGCCTCGCCGGCTGCCGCCACTGAGCGCCCCACCCACCCCTGCCCTCCTTGGTCTGTCGGCAACTCAGGAATCCATCCACTCACCCAACACGTATTAAATACCTACTGTATGTCGGTGCCAGGTGGCATAAGACAGCTGTTGCCCTCAAAGTTATTGGGAGTGGTGGTGGCGGGCAGGGGACACACAAGCTGTGTTATAGGTCCTACTATGGGGGAGACCCTAGAAACAATGGGAGGCTCCTGGTGGGGTGGCAGCCAGAGAAGGCTTCCTGGAGGTGGTGACACCTGAGGGGCAGCTCTAAGGACAAGTAGGCATTTTCCCAGGTGAAGAAGGAAGTGCATTCCAGCCAGAGGGGAGGACACATGCGAGACCTGGAGCCTGTGGGAAGCGCAGGGCCTTTGTGTTTGGGGGCAGGAGGAGGCTGCAGCACAGGGGCCGGGGGAGCGGCAGCAGCGAGGCTCTGGAAGGCAGAGGCAGGGATGCAGTGAAGGCGATTCATGTGTCCTCTTCCTGCCTGGCCTGGCCTCCGCTGGCTGTGCGCTGAGTGTGACGGCAGGACGGGCCCCACCTGGGTTTCTGCAGTCAGGGAGGCGCCCTGAGACCCTAGTGTGTTCTTGTAGGAGCCAAGGGTCAGGGCAGGGAAAGGGGGATGAAGCCGGCTACAAGCAGCCAGAGAGCACCAGGCAGGGAATAGAGAAAAGGGAGGAAGGGAGGGAAGAGGAGGAGCGGGGAGAAGGAGGGGAGGAGGGAGAGAGGAGCAGGGAGGGGCGTACCACTGGCCAAAGCTGACCCCACTCTAGGGAAGCGCAGTCCCACTCAGGAGTACATCTCCTGTCCCGGGAGCCCCCAGCAGGCCTGAGGCCGCAGGAGGGAGATGGCGGGGCTCCCACGCACGGAGGGCTGCGGCCGTTTCAGAGGCGACGCTGACCCATGGCCCTGCCGGCCTTGCCTGACATCTCCTGGACCACCCAGCAGGGAGCCTGGCGGGGCTGGGGCTGAAGGAACACAAGGGAGGGGACATTTCTTTTCATAGGGAAAGAGCTGTGACCTACGAGCAAGGCTGCCTTTCCAGTTAAGTGAATGGCCTCCCTCCCTCCAAACGCACAATTTCCCTGGGCGCTGTCTACCGCGGCACTGGGGACACAGGGAGAGCGTCTAGTCCCAGGATGACAGTGCCAGTGCTGCCCCATCGCCCGTGGGACCTGGGACAAAGAGTGCCAGGTGAGGCAAGAGTGCCTGCCTCTCCTTCCCTACCGCAGGCTCTAGGCTGCACCAGGAAAGGCACGGCCTGCCTGTCCCAGCTCTGTCCACCCCTCACCCAGGGTCAGACGCCCTTGGCTGAGGGCGTGAGGGCTGGGTGCGATGCGTTAGGTGCAGGCTAGGGGCGCACGTCCCAGGGCCCATCAGCCGCAGGACCCCTGAGCATATGCTGCACGGTGGTGTGGGCTGTCTGCACAGGGGATTCCAAGCTCCTGGGTGCCAGGAGGTCTAGAAGTTGGGGAGCGAGTGGCAGGTTCCACAGGGCACGTTCTCCCGGCCCCAGGCAAGGGCCCTCTTTGCCTGGGTCTGCAGGCGGTGCAGAGTGGTCCCAGGGCAGGGTGAGGCAGAGGGCTAACAGGTCTGTGGGTGGTCCCACTCTGCTTGAGGAGCATCTGGGAAGTAGGGCCACCAGCTGCAGAAGGCCTGTGGAAACGTCAGCCAGCTTGGGTTTGAGTCCAGACTCCACCACCTGCTGGTGGGTGCCTTGGTATAAACTAGAAAACTGTGCTCCAATGAGAAACTGTGGCTCAACAAGACTTGCGTGGGCTGAATTTCAGCCTTCACTGGTCCCCTCGTACGGGATGAACCCTTTAGGGCCATCCCTGGTGGCTCCGACTCTGGCCTGTGTCCTTGCCAGCATATGGGGAGGATGGTGGCACACCTGCCCTGCCCTCCTGCAGTGGCTGGGAGCACCCAGTGTTCCCCTCGGGGAAACAACGCGCTTCACAGTGCTGTGACCTGTCGCCTGCCCTCCCGCAGCGCCCGGTGCACAGCAGGAGGTGTGCAGTCGGTCCAGGCCAGCGGGGCCCCTCCCGGGCGCCGCCCAGCCTATCAGACGGGGCGAGGCTGCACGGCCCCCACCCTGGGGGGTTCTCCTGGTCACGCACTGCTGGGCCCAGGGCTCCTCTCTGAGCTGGTGCCCTTCAGGCTGGCTCCAGGTTGCCCTGCACCCCGTCCTGCTGCCCAGGACCTAACGGCAGTGACTGCCAGTCCCCCCAGTGCCCTCCAAAGTGTGGGAGGAGATGATGGAGCATCCATAATGGAACAGGAGGACCCAGGCCGCCAGCAGGGAAGACAGCCACACCCTGGCATCTCATCACCTTCCCTGGCTCTATTGCTGCTGTGAGCTGCGAGTCAGGGCTGGAGGATAGTCCTGAAGAGGTGGCACTTCACGCTGCTCCCCTGGGGGTCACTGTCACGGCTGCTACTGAAGATGGGGTGGGAGCAGGGAGAATGGAAAGAAGAGAAACTGAGCCCACCCCTCGAATGGCAGACTTAATTAGTACACGCCGGCCCCAAAGTCTTGTCCAGATGCATCCAACAGGCCATCCCACCTGCCTGGGCTGTCCGGAGCAGGGAAGATGGCTTGGCAGAGGCATCGTGTGGGGACAGCTCTCCTGAGAGAGGAGCTCCAGCGTGTAATGACGCCCAGCCCAGGAAGGGGCTAGGCCGGGTGCTTGGTGGGCACAGGCTCTGGCAGCTCCCATGGTGGGAGGGCTGCAGGTGTGTGACTCGCCCGGGCGGAGGAGGCCCTGAGTCACGGCTCCCAGTGTGACAGCCCCCAGAAGGCAGGTGAAGGGTCCTGCTCACTGAGACCCTCTAGCCCTGAGGCTCCGGGCACCCCTGCCCTGGAGCTGGCTGGCTGGGGCTCAGGGGCAGTGGGCCAGGTTGCCCCTCCACCCTTCCCTTTGCCAGGCCTGTTCCGACTCCCTCAGTCTGGCACAATCGTCCCAGGCACTTCCAGGCACGAGCTGGCATGCGAGACTGTGACGTGCTGCTTGCATTGCTGCTGACAGTCCCTTCCACGCAGGCATGGCGTCTGGCTCCGGCCTTTGCCCTCACTGCTCGTGCCCGGAGTGCCGGTGCCTGCTCATCCTTCAGTCCAGCTCCACTCGCCACGGCTCCACTCGCCACGGCTCCGGGTCGGCAGCGGTGGCCCCCTGCCGCCCCAAATGCCCACCTGCTGGTCTCTGGACACAAGACTCTCCTCAGCCGGGCGAGCTCCACCCGCGCCCTCCCGCTGCCCCTGCTAGTCGGCACGGCCTTCCCTGGGGCCGCGGCGCCGTGCCCCTGCTCTGCATCTGCTGCTCTGCTCCAGGTGACCACCCTGCGCCATGTGACTGTGAGCTTCTGGGGAACAGGGACCACACCTTAGGTTTCTGGCGGCTCCTCCAGTGCCTGGCATGGCGTATGTGGACGTCCTGCTTAAGTCGCAGGAGTGCATGTTCTCACCAACGCACCTGGGAGGCGGAAGGAACCGGCCGGGGCCGCCAGCCCCACGCTGGGGGCACTAGCTTAATCCTCTTCTGACCCGAGAGTGGCACAGAACTGACCTTAGTTAAATCAACACCAGTTCTCAACCCGGCACGGTTTTGTACCTGGGGGACATCTGGCAATGTCTGGAGACTTTTCTTGTCACAACTGTGGTAAGGAGAACTACTGGCACCTAAGGGTAGTGCCCAGGGGTGCTGCTGGATGTCCCACAGTGCTCAGGACAGTCCCCACAGCAAAGAATGACCTGGTCCACAATGTCAACAGTGTCAAGGCTGAGAGACCCTGGGTGACATAAACACCTCCGGGTTCTCAGGCTGTCCCTGGGACTTGATTTGCTTATATGCCCCTGTGCATTATGGGAGCCTCAGAAAGAGGATCCAAAAAATGTTATCTGCTGCCGAGAAGCCTAAACTGAACACGGATAGAAGGAGGGCGGGGTCTACTCCATACCTGCCTGGGAGGGCACCAGCTCACGTCTCTTCGGGAGCTAAAGGGCCAATTCCATCAGGCTCAGGTTCAATCTGTTTTAGGAAGCAAGTGTAGGTTTCTCCAGGTCCCCTTAGTGGCTGGGGAGGCGGCTGCAGCCATAGGTTTGTATAAGAGGTTGGCTCTAGGAAACATAAAAAAGGTTCTGGAGCCACCTTTTGCCCTCATTAAGTCTGGGTTGGTATTGTTCTTGAATTATTAAGCAAAAGTCAATAAGAAATTTGCAGCTAGCCTGTGAGTGATTTGGAGTGCTATTTCAACATAAGTATTTACTGGCCTGAAGTGTCTCTATAGTGGGCTGGGCATAGTAGAAAGGCAGCCCTTCCACAAAAACAAACAAACAAAACCAAAAACACCAATAGAACAGTTAACCCTTTCTTGGCAGAGTCAGGGCCTTATTCATCTGAGGAGCCCAGGGCACCAGGGGAGCGGCAAGCACAGCCCAGCACACGGTGGGTGCTCCATGACAGAAACGGCCACCATTCACGAGCTCTCCCCCGGGCCAGCCCCTCTTGCAGGTGCTTTGCTTGGGAAAGGCTCAGTAGCTTGTCTGAGGCCACACAGCAGGCACACGGCTGAGCAAGGAGGGGAACCCAGGCATTTCAGCTGCTGAACCCATGCTCGGACACACCGCGTGGTACTGTCCCCGCTAAATGGCAGACAGGTGGCTGATGAGCTCGCTGGGCTCAGGGTGGATTCAGCATGTCAGGAGCCATATAGTTCAGCGGACACAGTGGCGTCAGATGCTCCCCAAAGGACAGGGTGTCAGGAGCGATGAAGAATGAGGGGGTGAAGATGGAGAGGAAAAGGGAAGCCCTCCCTGGGCACCCTGTCGCTTGCTCAGTCCCCTGCCAGCTGCCCTCGGTGCTAGCAGGGCAGGCCAGCTGTGCTCCAGGCTCCAGGTGGTCCTCCCCTGCCAGCTGCCCTCGGTGCTAGCAGTGGTACAAGAGCCTCTTCTGCCCGATCCTCCCCACACCTTCACCCCGTGGCTCATGCTGGGTTCATGGCCATGGCTCTGATGCTCGTCTCTGCCCCTCTGCCCTTTACTCAGCCCAACACACTCTCATCTCAGAAGGGCAAATTTGCACCAGCCTGGAAACACCCGGTGTGCACACAGCCTGTGCACAGCGCCGCCGCCAGCCTCTGTGCTTTTGCTCACGCGGTTCCCCTGCCCAGTCCCTGCCCCAACCCCATCTGTGTTGTTCACTGGCTATTTGGCCACCAACACTTGGCTCAGGCACGGCCTCCACAAAGCCCTCCCTGGGCTAGAAGTTTCGGAACTATGAGCTCATCGCCAGCATCCTTGTTTCCGAAAATCTCTCTGACCCCAGGGCCTTTACTTTTCTCGCTCCTTGGGACACCTTGATCCCCCCAACTCTGACCTGTACCTTGTTCTGTCTTCACGGTTCCTGTGCGTTGCGGTATGAACTGAACCCGCCCTCCAGCCCCACCTCTGGCTCCACTCTGAGTTTTGTCACTAGCCTGCACCTGCAGATGCAGGGCTGCCTGGTCCTTCCAGAAGCCACTCCTATGGCTTGGTCCGATAGAAATGGATACCAAGGCTTCCAAAGAAAGTTCTTATAGCGTCTACCCCCAGAGCACTCCATGAGAACTATCCCATTTCAAAATATACCGAACAATACCCAAACTGTAGAAGGAATCAGTGTGTTAAGCGTAGAATGGGACTGACACATTAATCTTGCCCCCATACCAAAGGGGTTTTTCTTCCTTCATTTTTTAATAGGATGGATTGAACTAGAAGCAAAGTTGGATTACTTTCTAAAACTATAGATCCAAAATGAAGCTGAACAACATAGCACTCTCCGAACCAAACCAATACTTCTATGATGGAGGCTCTGCGGGAAATATGCAGAAATATTTCTCACTGTGACATCAAGGTGATTAATTAGAATGTGAGCTGGCCTTACACTGCATGGGGGCAAGCTGGGCCCCAGATGGATTTTCTGGGGCGGACTCACTGGTGCGTAAGAGACAGGGCGGCTCAGCATCAGCTGATACCATCTTTGAGGTAAGATTGAAGCACTTTATAAAATTGGAATTTCAGAATGTCCCCATTGGACAGACCCTGCCACAGAAGGGAGGCTTGCCGAAGCAGTCCTCTTCTGCCTCCCCCACCATCCTGCGAGATTAGCGATAGAAGGGGCTGGAGAAGCTTCCCGCCAAGCCCCAGTCTGCCAGTGGAGGCTGGGTGTCCAGGTGGGTTGGGGTGGGGGTGGTGGCAGCAGTAGAAGAGGAAGATCAAGACACCACAGCCCAGGGTAGCTGCAAGGAGAGAAGCCCAGGCTCCCAGCTGGCTGTGTGTGAGATTGTAGGGCGGGCAGAGGGAGGGCCAGGGACGGCCAAACAGGAAAAGATGAAGCCAGCTGTTTAAGCGGCAATGACCCCAGGGCAAATTATTTTCTGGCAATTAACTATCGACTGGAGGCAGTCGGCTCAGAGGTGCAGCTGCCCAGCATGTTTGTGCAGAAGAGAGAGCAGATATGGATTTGGGAGCCTCAAGCCATTTGTTTAACAAGATGTCACTGCTGGAAGGATGAAGGTGACCTCTACCCCTCCTGGCCCCAGCCCAGGGCTCACAGGCTGGGTGGTCCAGCCACAGCCATTGCGAATGCTGGGATGCAGCCAGTCCACCTGGACACAGTGAGGACGTGAGGATGTGCCAGGCCAGGCCAGTGTCTGATACTAACATTCGGTTCTGGCCCCAGGGGCTGGAAGCAGAGAAGGGCACCAGGGCTGAGGCAAGAAGAGCTGGTGGACCAAGTGACGGCAAGGAGGAAGAGGCAAGGAGGAAGCAAACTGGGTCACAGGGGTGCAGGATGTATGCGAAGGCACATCAAGAAAATGCAGCTGAGCCATCCAAAGTCTCAGCCAAAATGTTTTGTTGCAAGAGGAACTCACTGTGTGTGCGCGCATGCGTGTATGTGTGCTGTGGGTGGGGGCAGGGTGTGGAGATCATGGAAGGAGAACACAGTTCCAGAACCATAAGCCCAAGACAGTGCCCACTAGGTTGGAAGCTGGGACCACTGAGAGCTCAGTCTGAATGGACCGGGCAAGCGCAGGACCCAGAGTGGGCATGGAGGCCTGGCTAGCGGGCTGGGGGGTGAGGGCCAGACCACACCCCGTGAGACACAGCCTAGGGAACTCAGAGGATGCTGCTGCCGGTGGATCCGGGCATGGGGAGGTAACCAGTGGCTGCTCCTGAAAGGGCCTAGACTTTCCCACTGGCTGCCCCCTCACAGGCTGTGGGAAGGCTATGTCGTGGCCTGTGCACACAGGTGGAAGAGAGTGGCCGTGCAGGGGGCAAGATCAGGACAAAGGACGGTCACAAGGACCCAGGGTGGGACTGCTGATGGGGTCCCTAGCAGTGGTCATTAATTCTTGGACAAGATTGGCTCTAGGGGGAAAGGGAAGGCCAGCAAGAACAAGAGTGGGGAGACACCAGGCTCCAGGAAACACAGGGCAGGCTAGCGGGGAGGACAAGCCCTGGGGCTCAGAGAGGTCAGAGCCCCTGACCAAATCCAACACAAATTCAAACCACCTGCACAGTCCTTTACCATGTGACATAGGTGTCTTGCACTCCTCACTGGACTCCGAGCCAAGAACTGGGTCACAGTCCTTTTCTTCCCCCTTCCCTTCTCACCCTGCCTTGTGCCCAGCAGAGCAGGAAATGCTGAGAACATGCTGGAAATGCTTGTTGAGGTTGATGAGTTAGGGAGTCCCGTCAACGCAATATGGAGCATCGGTTGCAGAAAACTGGAAGGAAGGTGGTGATGGAAGCTAACTGGCTGTGAAAGCGCCCCGTGTAGAAGATGCTGCTGGAGCTGGCGGTGACCAGGTGTATCCGCTGCAGCCTGAGGAAGGTGGGTGTCGCGGAGACTCTGTGAGTCTCTGTGCTGCCATCACAAGGCTGGCTCTTAGGGATGTCTGTACCCTGCTTCCCAAAGAGCCCGGAAAGAGGTCTTCATGTCCACTGCCCTGCCTCTGCTGCATGAGCCACACTGGATAAGGAAAGGCTCATCTGGAGAGAGGCCGGGGTTCTCGAAGCCCTGGCAGTAGGATGCTCCTTCTGGAGCAAGCGGCACCCGTGGGTCAAAGGACCACCAAACAGAGGCGGTGAGGCCCACCCAGGGGCTGGAGTGCTGGTTGAGCTAAGAAACTTGTGCATGAGAAATGAGCCAAGGGAGGACATGGGGACCCCGGCTCCCTCCAAACTTCTACCCCCACCAGCTTCTTTAGAGGATGTGGCCCAGCCAGGCTGTAGGGCCCTGGGAGTAACAGCCCTAAGAGCAACTTTATTTATTTAGGTTACTTCTCAAAGGAGCTTGGTCATGCCGATAGTGATGTGAATGTTAATTAGAGCCACATTTTTATGATCTTTATAGAATGCGGTGACTTGTTTCCTAGGACCTGAAAAAACTTCCTCACTACCCTCACACCTCATCCCATATAAAGATGGCAACACCAAGGTGGGAGGAGAGGCCGGTGACTTTCCTGAGGTCCCAGAGCAAGCTGGGAAGCTACACAAAGACCTGTCTTTGAGCCCAAGCCAAGATATTTTTGCCCTTGATTCTAGACCTTGTTGCCCTGGTTTACCAAGTCTTGGCATATTTGATGAAAGTGTTGCAATTCTGGGCCCCTTCATTTTGGGAAATTGGTTTCTAGAACTTCTTACTTTTAAATTCACCCCCTAAATATAAAAGAGCCCCTGACAAAGACCCAGTTTAGTCTGAACCATCCATCATGATCTTCATTTGGCTTAAGATATAAAAGTTTTCAGAGTCCATCAAAACTCTAAAAATATTCCTCTCTTTTGATCTGGGTGGCATCTGTCCTGGTCATCGGCCCTAGGCTCAGATGGCCTGAATTATCTGTCCCTCTCATGCAGTCTTAGCTAAAAAAGAAGAGCTGGTGTGAATAATTTAAACCCCATTCCCTTTCCCCTCTGCAGACTTCCGACGCCAAGCTGATCAGCGTTTCAGCACCAGCAAAGATGTGCTATTCCTGTCCCTGGGGATCATTTCCTTCTTGGGAAAATGACTCTGAGGGGCTGCAGATGGGCAAGGAGGAAGGGTTCGGGCCAGGACAGACATTGTGAGCTGGCCACCCTGCCTGGGTCCTTCCCTGGGAACTTCTGAGCTCAGTCTTCTCCTCCTCCTAGCCTGCGTGGAGGCATGTCACTCGTCACTCCGAGGCCTGGTCTGTCATCACTACACTCCTCCCTGGGGACCACTTTGTCTAGCGCTGGCCTCGCTGGCTCCTCCTCCGGAGCTTCCTTCAGCCTTCAGCTGACTCAAGGTCTCAAAATGAAGTTAGACACGGAGGGGGAAAGTGAAATGAAACCAGAAGGAACCTCCAGGAACCACAGTTCCTCTTACACTGCCTTAATCACACTGCGTGACTCTAAATGGGAGCCTGGGTTTTAAAATTCCTGCTTGTGTTAGCCCGAGAAAGGTTTTGCAGCCACTGGCTTGGCTTAAACAATTAAGTGATGAAGTGCTCAGTAATTCAGGGGCTGGTGGGCCAGGGTGAGGATGGCTCAGGTTCCTCTGCTTTACTCCAAGCTCTGTACTTGGGCCAGTTCTTTCACTGGTTCTTTTGGGTCGGTGGGCAGGGAAAGCAAAGAAAGAAGATTCTAGGCCATGGGGTTTGCTGTTTGCTAGCTTCCTGGCAGAGACACCTGTCCCTGCAGCCCTGTGCTGGTGGCTGAGTGTGTGCGTGCACATGCACACGTTTTCTGACCTCAGTTTTAAGCTGTTGCCTCCCTGATGTGTCTGTTCAGTGACATCGAGCCAGGGAGATCACCAGTTCTGTGTGCACTGGAAGTGAATGCAGGCAGGTCTCCATGGAGGGGGCAAGTGGGGCTGAGAAGAAGGAGGCGATCTCACACCAGCCTGTCCAACGGCCCCTTTGCCCCAGCCCTGCCGCAAGCCCGAGAGGGATGACAGGGCTCTCTCCAGTTGCGGGCCCCCTGAAGTTCGGAAGCGTGGGGCAAGAGGGGCTCACCAAGCCTCAGGAACGCCCAGGTCTCTACATCTCTCCCGCACAGTCCTGGCCTGGGGTTTGGTCCCCGCTGGGAAGGCCCCCGAGACTAAGTGCCAGCCAGGCTGTGACTGGGGAGGCTGCGGACACCCGTTCTCCACGGATCAGCCATGGGTCGTGTCAGGTGGAACGTGGAGGGAGCTGTGACCCGTGGCCTGGACAGCAGAGCGCCGGCACGTGCTAGACCTGAGGCTTTCCTTCTGGCCTTTGAGACTGCCAAGGGGAGCCCTTAGGATAGACTGCTCTCCAAGAAAGCAGTAACTGCGAATCTCCCGCTCATGTCTGGGTGACCCACACCCAGTCAGTGTCCTTCAGCCTGGGACCCTTGGATGCAGTGCCGGCTCCGTGGCCCTCAAGTTCCCTTCTACACTGAATGTGCCTGCCCTGTGCACGCTGCTCCTTCCTCACTACAACGGAGCGAGGAGGCACTCGGATGCCTGAGGCTTCTAGGGTCCCCCACGACATCCCGGTCTCCTGCCTGAGGCCCTGCGGGAAGCCCTCTCTGGCATCAGCCAGCTCTCGGAGTGCCACTGCTCCGTGCTGAGCCCCCCAGAGATGGAGAGCGGGGTGTGCCCGCACCCGTCCCGCCGCTGGGCTTCCTGTCCTTCTGCCTCCCGCCAGGCTTGGCCTCCCGGGGGGAGCAGACTCCCAGAGGTGACTCCAACAGACTGGAGTTCACAGTCCCGCTCCTCACTGCTCCTCCTCTCTGAGCCCAGCTTCCTCGCCTATGAGGCGGGAGAGATGGGTTTACACTCTTGGAGGCAGTGGAGTGCGGAGTCGGAGCATGGGCCTGGGCGCCAGACTGAGTGACACTCACTGTGGGGTGGGCGTTTTAAAACTGCATGTTGCTCTGCTGCCTCAGCAGCTGCGAGTGCCCGGCCTGGGTGACCGGGAGCACCAGTGCAACAGGGCTGGCCCCGCCACAAGTCTCCCGCAGCCCCTCCCCGCGAAGTGGCTGTCCGGGACCTGTGGGTACAGGGGACTTTGTTTTCCCCATGCCTCTCCTGTGCCCTCGCCCTGCGCCTGATTGATTATCACCTAAAAGAACACAGCAGCAGTGCGACTCTGGGCAAACCACTGCCCGTCCCCCTGTCCTCAGTCTCCTCCCCCGTCGAATGCACTAGGCAGAGTAAGCAGCCCGTGGGGCAGGCGAGGACTGAATGAGTCACATGCATCAGTGCTGAGAACGGCGCTGGGCACACGGAGATTAGGTTGCTGGGACTTCGCAGGGTGGCTGCCGTAAGGACAGAGGTGGTGGCTGTCAGTAGACGCTGGCCATCTGATTTCTAACTAACTGGACCCTGGGTGGAATGTAGGGGGCTTTTGCCAGTGCTGCAGGGGACCACCAGCCTTCAGGGGCTCCTTACAACCAAGACAGACGGCTCAGAGTCAGAAGGCAGGCTCCCAGGTGAGGGCTTCTGCTCCCCTCGTGGGCTGAGTCCTGTCCTCTCTCAACAAGATGCCCTGGCGAGAGGAAGGAGGCAGCCAAGAGGACACAGCTCAGTGGCCTGCCGGTGGGCAGACCTCCAGGAGTGAGGGGCCGGAGGCTCAGCCTGCAGCTTGAGGCCAAGCGAAGGGCCCCACCTGCTAAAGGGTGCAGAGCTGAGCAGGGCACAGACGGGTGTGCAGAGGAGGGGGATTCTCCCTCTGGGCCCAACAGCACAGGTCCATAAGCCTCAGCACTGCACAGACAGAACACACCACCCAGCCATGCCACACACCCGAGTCACTCATGCACACCGTGCGCCTTCGTCTAGCTACCGCGGTCAGATCTAGCTGTGCCCCGGCGCTCCCCAGGACCTCAGCTGACCGACTGCAGCCCCTGTTGGGAGCCCTCATGCCAGGCCTCATGGGAGAGGGCTGGGTGGGGGTGTGGCTGGCTCCAGGCACACCTGTCCCTGCTGCTGGGAAAGAGCTCAAAGCCCAGGCTCTGGTGGCCAGTGCCCTGGGGCCCTCATCCCTGCGGCATATCGTCATACGCCCTGCCGCACCCTGGCTCCGAGCTGTCCCTCAGAGCAGAATTAAGAAATTCTTCAAAAGGGGAGAGTCCTGCTGAGCGTGTACACAGTGGCTCCATATCCAGGGCCAGGAACTAGGTCGCTGCTGGTGAGAGGCAGCAGGGGGGCACTGGCGCTCTGGCAGCACACCTCCCTGGCCTCCTGTTCCCTTGGTCGCTGTGCAAGGGCAGAGGCGTGGTGGATTGGGGGCAGGAGAAGAGACACAGGGCCCCGTGAGGCTTCTTCCCCTGCCGGATTCCTGCAGGCTCAGCCTGAGGCGTGGGCTGGTTCTGCCCTCATGCTTCCTTGCTAGTCCGGACGTTTCCCAGCTGCCCGAGTCTGGAGCGGACTCCAGGCCTCTGGCCTCCTTCCTGACACTCTGAGCATCTGCGGCTCTATTCCTGGGGTCCTAGGCAGGAGCCTGTCAAAGAGGCTCCAGCCGTGGAATGCCTCCAAGACAACCAGATCAGTCGGAGCAGATCCGGCTGCTAACCACCAGGAGAATATGTTAGCACAGGGTGTAATCAGAAATCCAGACTGGGAGAAACTCTATAGGACAAATGTCCTGGGTCCTTCAACGAATAAACAGCAAGAGGAAAAGAGACAGAGAGAAAGAGTGAGAAAGAGATTGGTGGTGGAGCTTAGAGACTAAAAGAGATTTAGGGGACAAATCAACCAATTTTAACACATGGACCTAATTTAGATTCTGACTCAAAAAAACTTGAAAAAAAAGAGAACAGTTTATGGTTAATTGGGGAGATCTGAAACTGCCTAGTCATTTCATGATATTAAGGAACAACTGTTACAGAAATGTTTACGGATGACTCTCGATATCTGGGGTTGCTGTGAAATCACCCTAGGGCCGGGAGGGGCAGGGTGTAGGTGCCAGTGAACCCAGATTGGCTATGGGAGGGCAGCTGTTGGACCCCGAGTGATGGGAGCTTCATCACAATGTTTTTTTCTGTATATTGTTGGAAATTACCGTGATAAAATCTAGAAGGAGGAGGAGGAAGAGGAGGGAGGAGGGAGCCTCTGGGCTTAGGTCCTGAGAACCTGGAGACCTTGGCAAACATGAGACCCAAGGGCAGCCCTGACCCCGGCTTTCCCACGCCTCGGCCCTCCCGTTCCAGGGCTGGGCCCCTCCCACTTGCTGCGAAACCTGGGGGCCAGGTGGGTGGCTCCCCTCCCTGGAGAGCATGCAGGGCGGGGGCCACCTACCGTGGAGAGGCAGCCCCGCTGCTCCCGGAGGATGGCGCTGAAGCCCAGGAAGCCGGTCACCATGACGAGGGCGCCCGCGAAGATGAGAATGTAGGCAGAGGCGGCGAAGGTGCTGGAGGCCAGGACGCTGAGGTAGCCGCTCTTCTCCACCAGGGTCCAGACACCCACGGCCAGGACGGCCGCGCCCCCGACCTGCGGGAGACCCGGGGTCACTGTGCGCCCGTCGGGGCTGGGCGGGTCGCCTCGCCCCGCTCTGTCCTGTGTCCTGCAAAAGGCCTGCGGGAAGACTTTGGCCACCCCGTTTTATAGATGGGGAAACCGAGGCTCAGAGAGGTTAGGAGACTGGCCCAAGGTCACACACGTGAGCGAGCCGTGGAGCCAGGTTTGAATCCAGGTCGGAGCTTCCAACTGCGGGGCCTGCGTGCTGCCGCCGTGCTGGGGGGACAATGGCCGCTGGCTCCCCTCCCCTCTGAGCGCTCCTTTGCTCTGTCTGCGTCCCTGGTGGGGCCCTTCTGGGCCTTAGCCTCGCCGCTGGGAAGCACAGCCGGCCCCTCACCTGTCTTACGGGGAGGAACTGAGGCCCCAGAGGCCCTGCCTGCTGCCTCTCTGCCTCCCGCCGGGAGGGCCGCTGTGGGACACCTGAGCCACTCTGGCACCGCGGGAGGCGGCATGGAGACTTCTTCGCTAACTGCCTGATTCCCTTTCAGTCCTGAGAAGGGCAGGTCTGGCGGATGCCTCCTTGGACACCAGAGCACCTGGGAAACGTGGCTGGGGTGGCTCAGCTTGCCCGGTTCTTTCTGTGATGAGGCCGAATGACCCTCTCTGTGACTGTCACTTTCAGCAGGGCATAACGCGCGCGTGTGTGTTTGTATGTGTGTACATGTACACACACGTGAGTGTCCTTAAGGTGCCAGATGGGGATATTGGGGGTGTTTGCCCAGTCTTTGGGGCAGGACCCCTGGGACCTCTGACCATCTCTGCCATCTGCTCCCGGGAAGGTGACTTCTGCCTGCCTTCTAGTCTCCGCCCCCATATAAGGATGGGTCCGTTTCCTCTGACAGGTGGTGGGTGCTTCCTCAAGGCGTCCGGGCTGTGGCCAAAGCCAGAGAAGCCCCTGGGCTCTGCCCACGCCCTCTGATGCTTGTCCCTGTGAGGTGTGCTCCACCTGCCCCAGGTGACTCTCTGCATAACCACCTGTCATTTCCCATTCTTTGCTCTGGACAGTCATAGACCTCAGCTCAGCAAAATGGAAGGTGGCCCTCAGCAATGAACAGGTGCCCACCTTCCTCAGCTCCGTGCACAATACCATTTCCTCTTCTGCACTCTCAGCAGCTCTGTGGAGATGGGGCAGGGTGGGAGGGCAGGCATTACCCTTTTGCGGATGAGGAAAGCAAGGCTTGGAGAGAGTAAGAATGTGCCCAAGATGACACCATTAAAGAGTTTCAGAATTGAGACTTAAACCTGGGTCTTCTGCGGGCAAATCCAGGACTCTGTCCTCAGATCCCACAGAATGGGCTGGGACTGCTCCTCCACTTACTCCTGTGTTTTTAACAGATAGGGTTTCTTCAAAGTGTCATTTTATCTCCACTGGCACCTTCACCAGATGAGAGCACCAGGAGGAGGGACCCCACCCAGGCCGCAGCTGCACCACTCCCAACAGAACGGGAAAGGCTACACGTGCCATATTTCTTCCCTTCCATGATGCACATTTTTTCCCTCACATTTTAACATCTCTAAAATTGGGATGCATCTTATGAGTGATGGAACTTGCAATTACAATTGGCAGCACTTTTTCTTAGTGGTGTGAAAAACAATGTTGTATCTTACAACTGATACTATTTTAGGGTCAATGAAATCCTGGACTACAACAGGTGTTTAAATTCTCTATGGGTGTGGGTTACGTGTGGCCCACACAACCTTCATGCCCCAGTGAGGTACTTCCTGAGTCTGGGTTGGTGGAATTGTGTCAGGTGAGGGTTTCTAGCGAAATGTCCTGCACAGAATTCTCTTTGCCCCCTACAGCATGTCTGGAAGGCTTGGGTGAGGGTCCCAACTAGCTGTGTGACCTAAAGATAGTCTCTTAACCTCTCTGGACCTGTTTCCTCATCTCTCAGATAGGGAGGTTGCACTGGGACCAGTGGTTCCCAACCTGTAACCCCTTTGATCACTTTTCCCCATGGATCTTAGGTTTTGAGGGCTTCTGCCTACCAGACTGTGCATTAATTAATGATTTACTTCTCATTTATTAATCAAAGACATATAGTAGTGCCAGGAAGAGATTCTGAACAGCATGAGAGAGTCGACGTGACCACACTGAGTTGATCTAACTCCAGCAAAAAGCCAAGAAACTTGGCTTTTAATGAGTATAGTCTTTTTATAGAAATATGCACATTATCCCTTATCCTTTAAGTTTATTAATCCTGTCAGCCCACACCAGAGCATAGGCTGGTCATCCGGATCTGGGATCACCAAAAGGAATGTGTTTGGACTGGCCTGGGGACGACTGATCTGATGGGGGACGCGGAACCCACTGGGAATCTGATGAAAGGTTTTGTATCCTTGTCCAGATAAACAGTCATCCCCACAAAACAACATACTCAGCGCCAGCTGCTGAAGTTTATTTTTGTACCACGTAACGAGCCTGGCCTAGATGATGTCTAAGGACTCTTCTACCTCTTTGTCCCTCTAAGGTCTGGCTGTACCATCGCCTGGGGAGCTGTGAGAATCCCAGGCCACACCGCAGGCCAATCAGAGTCTCGGGAGTGGGGCCCAGGCCTGAGCGTTTAGAGCCCGCGTGGTGCGCGTGGGAACCTCTGCCCCGCATTCCTAAGCCAGGGGTCCAGGCGTCCCGCCGCTCTCCTCCCGGCAGGCGGCGCTGTGCCGGGCACCACGGACCGGGCGCCCTGACAGGTCAGGCCCAGGAGGCGCCTCTGCACGCCCCGCCGCCCTGGGAGGAGCCGCCTGGGGCGTGGAGCTTGGTTGAGGCCGGAGGCCATCCCGTCCCTCCCGCTGTGTTAGTGTGTTTTCTCTGGGAGAAGCTTTAGGGCAGAAGGTGGGGTGATGAGGACAATTTTAAATGTAAAGGGGCAAAAATCAAATTTTGCAAGAGAGGAAGAAAAACTGGCTCCCAGGGGAAGGGGGCGGCCAGGAGAAGCCCGGCCTGAGAGGAGCAGCTGATCCCGAAACGTGGGGGCTGCTCCCGCCAGGCGCCCACGCAGCAGGCCGACTCGCGCAGGCTCAGCCCAGGCCCGGCCGGCGCGGGGTCTGGGAGGGTCGGAGCGCCGCGCCGCCCTGACTGAAGTCTACAAAACAACAGCCCACACTGTCTTGAGGTCCAGAAGAAATGGGGGGATGAGTCTGAAATCAGCGGAGTCTCTGCCCTCCTCCTTATGAGTAGCCCTCAGGAATAAGAGGGTTTCAAGTCCTCCAGGGGCCTTCCCGCTTGGGATGCGGCCAGCTCTTTAGAAAGCCACCTCTCCTCTGGACAGGAAAAGTGAAACTGCTCACTGTTGAGTGCGTCGCCAGGGAGTGTCACAGCAGGCAGATGTCAGCAGGCCTGGGTTCGGGTCTGGGCTGTGCCCCTACTACCATGCAACTGTGGCACAGACGCATGGCCTCTCTGAGCCTCAGTTTCTTCATCTGTAAACTGGGGGCTCTGAATGGGAATATCTCTGAGGTCCCTTCCACGTGGTTAAATGTCCCTGTTGTTACCAGGGGGGCAAGCTTCTGCCAATACACTTCCAGCAGGATGCTTCTGGACCATGCTCATGGCTTTCGCTCAAGCCACCTGGAAACTGCCTAAGTCAGCAGAGAGCAGTGGAAGAGGCCCGCAGAGGAGGACGGATGGGCAGGCAGAGATCTGACCCCAGCGAGCTGTTTCAACAGCCATTTGCATAGAGTTGATTCGACAGTATTTGGCTCTTTGTAGAAACTGGGTTGGTTTTCTGTGGAGTATTAACTACATTTTTCAAAGCCACAGCCTGTGGCCGATTAGCCAGAAAACCCTGCAGAGGGTGAAGCTAGGCAACGAGGACACGAGCAGGCTGAGGGGCACGGCGGGTCACCCACGCCGGGTGATCTGCGGACCTTCCCGTTTATGGACAGGAAACATTGCCAGAGCCCTCTGGGGTGGGGGGGCAGGGGGAAGGGCTGGCCTTGGCAGGTGTACATGCGTGGGGCCACAGCAATAAGGCAGTGGACCTGAAGGAAAGCAGGCAGAGGGTGTGAAAGTAACTGCAGGATTCTTCTTTGTCTTGCAGCCGTAGGGTTTCCATGCTGGGAGCCAGGACTGTGGTATTCCTGACAAAGAAGGGTCCCCTGGGCGGGAGAGTTCTCCGCCTTCAGCGCTGGGGAGCCGAGGCACTGGGAGGCGGGAACGCACAGGGTGACAGTGCAGTTTGTACATTTGCTTGCTGGCCACCTGCTATGTGCCAAGCACCACGCTGCGCTGGAAAGGTTTCTGGGTTAGACGTCTGCGCTCCTCCCACTCCAGTCAGGGTCACTGCTGACCTTCGCTGACGGCCTCCTGCCAGGTCCCCTCTGCTCTCAAACCTGTCCCCGTCTCCCCAGCGCACTGCCCAGCCTCGGCTCCGCTGGCCTCGGCTCTTCCCCACAGGCCAGCACGCTGTGCCGCAGTGCCCACCCACCCAGCACCCCTGCTGAGACACACCCCAGCACCCAGAGCGCCAAGCCCAAGCTCTCCCGCATGGCCTCAAGGCCCGTACACACCTGGTCTTAGCCTGACACTTGGCTTCCTCCTCCACTAGTTTCCTTCCTCCACACCTGGGCTTCAATCACTACAAACTGAGTAGCTATTTTGCTTGAAAGCACTGCAGGTGCCTAATAACTGCGCAGTGTCAGTGTGCGTGGAGAGGGTGGCCTCTGGGCAGGGTGTTGGTATCCACGTCCAAGCTCCTTTCTTTATCGGCTGTGTGAGTCTGGACAAGTCTGAGCCTCAGGCTGTCTCACCCCTCCCCACCGGTCTCACCTGGTCCTCGGCGCCCTCCTCTTCTACTGAGCGCTGTGCACGTTAAGCCTCTGAGTGTGGCGCTTCCTGCCCCTCCCAGGCAGGTGCGTTCCGGCCTCTCCTGCCCTTCTGCGGCACTCTGCTCGCCCTGTGGCAGCCCTGCGCGTGGCGTGGGACACACACCTCACAGCCCTCGGAACCAGGTCCGGCTCACAGCAGGCACCAGGGAGCCACCAAGTGAGCAGGGACTTGTGGAGGGGCTTCGCGAGGGCTGTGGCGATAACAGCACCTGCTCCCTCACCTGCCTGTCTGGCGAGCTTCCGGGCAACAGCTGTTACAGTATTTCTCTTGCCTGCGTCACAGCCATGGTCATCTTTAGAGGGGCGGCCTGAAGACTCGGCAGTCCCAGAGTGGACTTTCCGCCAAGCCATTCGGAACAAGGCGCTGCAGAGGCCTGGGGTAGCCCCCAGGGGTCTCAGTGCCAGACTGATGCTTGGCTCTTCTCGCTGTCTGTCTGCACCAAACGTGACAGCGGCTCTCAGGCCACGGTGGGGCCTGAGCCTGACACTGCTGTGCCCTCGTGTCACCTGCAGGGGACAGGGTAGAAAGACCCTGATTTCGTAAACACAGGGTCATTTCCATTATGAAGGAGAAGTGAATGGGCCCAATTTGGGGAGCAAATGGCCGGACGGCTGAGGCAGGGGTTGGGAGGCTGGGTCTGAGCAAGGTGCAGGTGCTTTGGGAGAATGCCCCCCACGTCGGAAGAGTCATCTCTGAACCCAGAGGAAACCTTCCTCGGAGCCGTCCCTGCCCCCACCCCAGCAAATCATTCTGCCCTCCGCACCGGCTCCATGTCTTGTGTGTGTTTCTGATTGCTTCATCACTGTTTGTTTTATTTGCTGCCTTGTCTGTCTCCTCTTTTAGCCTCTAGATTCAACTTCATTCATCTTAGTGTCCCCAGCAGGGTGGGGAGGGAGGGAAGAATCCAGTTCAACCCCTTTTACAGTCTGGCTGGAGAAACTAAGGCTAGAGAGGAACGGCTTTTCCAGGGTCACACAACTAGCCCGGGCAGAGTGAGGATCAGAACTCGAGAACTCCCGATGCTCAGTTTAGTGCCCATCTGACCCGCACAGAGCTGCTCTGCCCAGGAAGCAGGGCACCGGGCGTCTGGGCTGCAGCCGGGCCTGGAGGACCCGAGCTGCAGCGGGGCAGCTCCCGGCTGCTGACCAGGCCACCCCTTGCCTCCCGCCATGGCCCTGTGCAGATGAATCATGCACCCCCTCAAGTGTGACCCTGTCCCCTAGCGCATTCTGACAGCACAGAGAGGCAGAGGTACCCCAAAGGCCAGGGCTGTCCTCGACCATTCAGCATTGCAAGAAAGGGTACAGCAAACAAATCAACCACCGCCCCTTGCCAGCTCTTTCCCGGGAGGCAAGCCCGGGCAGAAGCAGAGGCCGAGTTGGCGGGCGGGCGATGTATGAGGCCAAGGGCTTTCTGGCCTTGGCAGGGAGGTCAGCAGAAGGTTCCTCCCTCCCAGGGCCTCCCTGGATCCTGAAGTGAGGCTCTCAAGCCACCTCACTCCCCTGCCGGCGCTGAGACTCCATCTTCTCTGCCACCTGTCTGGGCCCCAGGTCTCCCCTGGCCGGTCCCAGGGATCCCCTGGGGGCTGAGCCCTCCTGGCCGTGGTGCGGGACAGAGCGTCCTGCGCAGAGCCGGCCTCTCCAGCCAAGGCGGCCACTGCTCCCTCGCACCTTCCCATGGCCTGGCAGAGCCCCCGGGAGCCTGGAAAAGCTTTGATTGTTAACACAGCCAAGCAGCTAATTAAAATAATAAATTAGAGAACAACGCTGCAGGGGTGATGGGCGCTGTAGGGAGCCATGCAGGAAAAGGGAGGGGAAAGAAAAGCATTTTCTAGGTGGCCACATGAGAAAGCCGAGACCACACTTTCTCTGCAGGCTGGGAAAGAGGTGTGAACGCGCTGGTGTTTTGGTTCCTGACCCATGGCTATATCCAAGGAAGCCTTCCTTGCCCAGTAGGGTCCTGCGATCAACACTGGGTTAACTGAATGCAAGGTGGGTATGAGGGGCTCAGGGACAGGCACAAGGAAGGACTGCTGCCTGAATCCTGCCGCGCTGGGGTGGAGGTGGGCGCTGCTTTGGGTTTTGCAAATTTTGGGATGTGACCTATTAGGGTTGTGAAATAAATCTAGTGGGTTGTACCCTGCACTAAAAAAAAAGAAAGAATTGAAATATAATTTAGTGCTATGGACAGAGAAAGCTGTTAAAAGAGACTAGAGAGATGCCCATTAGTCTAATCATATTAATAGCTAAGCACCAAGTATGTGCCATCAACTGTGCTACATGTTTTTCTGAATACTCATCTCTAATTCATACAGGTTTTGGCATTCTCATTTAGGATGTGAAAAACACAAGGCTCAGTGAGATTAAGTGATTTGCCTCCTGTCTTAGCTGAGGCAGCCATAACAAAGTACCGCAGACTGGGAGGCCTAAACACCACAGTCCTGGAGACTGGGAAGTCCAAGATCAAGGTGGTTCAGTTCCTGGCTGGGGCTCACTTCCTGGCTTGATGACGGCTGCCTTCTTGCTGGGTCCTCACACGGCCCTTCCTCAGCATTAGTGCGTGGAGGAAACGGGAACTCTCCTCCTCTTCCTCTTCTTAGAAGGCTCCCGATCCTATCAGAACAGAACCCAACCCTTATGACCTCATGTAACCTCATCCACCTCCCAAAAGCCCGTCTCCAAATACAGTCATATTGGGGGTTAGGGCTTCAACATATGAATTTTGGGGGACACAGTTCAGTCTGTAGCACCTAAAGTCCCACGGCTGGAGTCTGAACACGAGCCCCAGATTGAGCCTGAGTCTCCCATCATTGCTCTGCTGCCTTGATGACCCATGTGTGTCCCAAAGACACCGTGGAAGAGTGCAAGACTCAGGGCTGGGGCAGCAGAGCATGGTGGCCATGCACAGGATGGGTGCCAGAGAGGGCTGGGCTCCAGCTCCGGGACTGCGGGCAGAGCGCCGCGCAGAGCGCCGCACGTGCTACAAAGCAGGGCTCGCGTGGAGTGCTTCGCTGTGGGGGTGCTGGGAGGATTGACAGGGACGAGCGCAGAGGAAGCCCACGACAGTAAGTTCCAGGAAAGGCGGGAACTTTGTTCCCTGATGTAACCCAAGTGCCTAGGCCCACGCTGGACACCTGATAGGTGCTTAATCAAAGTGGTGGAAGAATATCTAACTTACTGCTATTGTCACTGACCCGGTATTCGAATGCCTAGGTGCCAGTGTTAGCTTTATCACCACTCTGCGACCTCGGGCGAGATTCTGAACCTGGGCGCCTGCTCACTGTCTGTAAGTGAGGATGATAACAACAGGGCCATCGGGGTTGGCCTGAGGATGGTGTGGGATCTTGGGTGGACAGGGCCTTGCAGGGGCCGGCACCACACCCGCACGATCCTCTCCTCCCTGTGCTCGGTTTTGATGACGAGTGTGACAAGGCGAGGACTCTGTTCCGGGGAAGGAAGCCTGTGTTTTGTCCCCCTCACGCCAGCCTGGGCAGTTGCCTCTGCTCGCAGGCCTGCTTTCTGCGCTGGGCAGCGGCGGTGGCGGGTGGGGCGAGAGTGAACCGCAGACTGGCGGGTGTCACTCTGCACCACCACTCTCCGAGGGAAGCGCAAGAGGCAGGAACCGTGGCCGGGTGGGGGAGCACCCGCAGTGTAGACAAGGCATTGCTGTGTGTCTGACACCTCAAGAGGCCCAGGTGGGAGGACAGCAATTGGACTTTGGGGTGTGCCGTGTGGGAGGACACCTTCTCCACCATGCGGTGGATCCTCACGGCCAGCACCCCCTCCCCGGGGAGTTCTGGTAAATTCCCAGGGATCTGGGCTCTGCCTTAGGAGGGACGGGCTGGCGGTCTGCTCCATGTCTACCGAGGACGCTGCAAGCAGGGCCAGGGGACTGGTGCCAGGACGGGAGGCCGAACACCCCTCACCAGGGCCAGGTGGGCCTCTGGGGAGCTGGTCTGTGGCGCGCCAGGCCCCGGGAAGGTGGATTTTAACGCAGGCCGGGCGTCTGCACGGGGCGGCGCCCTTGCCGGCAGCTGCTCTGGCAGCACTCTTGCTGCCCGTCTGCCCAAGCCGCCGCCACACCCGCTCCTCACCACACCCAACGGACGCAGGCACTGAACAGAGCCCGGGCTGCTGCGCTGGGACGGCCCCTCAGGGGGTCGCCGTGTCTGCTGCCCGCCACACCGACGGGGCCTTGGCACAGGCAGGACGTGCAGGGCCCAGGCCCGTCCACCAACATTTGGGGCTGAACACCTCACGGCAGCCCTAGGGACTGAAGAGCCACCAACCCTCTGGCCTCGCTGGCTACCGCCCACCCCTCTTCTCATGCCCAGCGGTGCTGTCTACACTGAGTCCACTTTCTCATCCCTCTACCTCTCTGCTCTCCTGAGAGTGCTCTCCCCACAGCCACCGATCTTTGCTGCTGAGCCAAGTGGCCTTTGCCAGGCCTTAGGAGACTTGATGTTTCCTCACCCTCCAACCTTCCCTGATCCCTGGCTTCCCCTGATTTTAGCACTAGAGGTTTCACACCCTGGGAACCCCCCAGTTCAGGGTACAGTGGGACTCCGGGTCACCCTCGACTCCCGCTGACCCACGCATCTCCTCTCTTGTCTGTCTCCCTGCTCTCCCAGGGCTCTCACCTCGTTCTCTGGCTGCAGCTACCATCGTGGTGGGGATGGTGAGCCCACGTCTGGGGTGCCAGTCTCGCTCTCTCCCGAGATCCAGACCCCAGGGCTAACTGCCCACAGAGCATCTGTGCTCAGAGGTCTCCTGGCTCCTCAAACTCACTCATCTGACCTCACCATCTGATCCCAACCCAAACTTCTCTCTCTGGTCTCTTGTTAGCACAATGAGCTCCGCCATCCACCCAGGAGCTGCAAATCCCAGATACCTCATCCTTCTCAGCCATCTAGTTAATGACCTGATCTCATCAACTGCACCTCCGAAATCCTTCCAGTCTCTCCAAATACTCTGCTCTCCACTGTCACTCCTGCATGCAGGTCACCACCATCTCTTGCCCTGGTCAGTGCAGAGGCAGAGGAATGCTGACAGTGGCTGTTCCTGGGGTGGCCACTGGTACAGGTTGAACTGTCTTCCCCAAAAGGTATGTTGGAATCCTCAGCCCCAGTGTTCATGAATGTGACCTGATTCAGAAATAGGATCTTGGCAGGTGTAACCAAGCTAAGATGAGGCCATTAGGGTGGGCCCTAATCCAGTATGACTGGTGTCCTTACGAGAAGAGGAAAATGCCATGTGAAGACAGGAACTGCCAGGAAGGACACCATGTGACAACAGAGGAAGAGACTAGTGTGACGCAGCTGCAAGCCAAGGAATGCTGGGGTTTACCAGTTGCTGCCAGGAGCTGAGAAGAGGCAAGGAAAGAGTCCACCAAGAGTAGAGCTGGGCCCTGCTGACGCCTTGATTGTAGACTTTGAGCCCCGGAACTGGGAGAGAATACATTTCTGTTGCTTAAGCCACCCAGTTTATGGTACTCTGTTATGGTTGCCCTGGGAAACAAGCGTGGTGAGATACGGGCAATTTTCATTTTCTTATACTAATATTTTAGAGAGCATTTGTAGTGCATACTCAAGACTTTTATGATCAAGAAAAACACAGTTATTCTTAAAAAGAAATGCTCAATAAGAATCCTAAATACCTGAGTGGATTTGCTTTGAGAATTGAAACTATCCACAGCACACAGGTGACTGGCTACATCAACACACCTTTATCTGTATCACCAGGACTTCGCTGTTTCAGAAACCCTCACCCAGGCAGATGAAGTTGCAAATAATTTTATCATTCATTTCAGGAACTTTGCAAACAACATTTAAACAAACATCAGATTGTTTGACTTTTTAATAGGTAGCATCTAATGACGGTCTATTCTCCAAGACTCTTCGAAAGGCTTGCCTTGCTGTGTCTGCCCATCCTGCACTCCTGTCATGGTCCTTGTCAGTCTTCACCCAGGCCCTGCAGGAGAGACCCTGAAAACTCAGACATATCCCACCTTTGCTCTTGCCTTTCTGAGATGCTCCTAAGACTCTGTCAAGGGAGGGTAAGCAGGAAGCCCAGCTCTGCCCCATCTGTGGGTTGACGTGGTGTTATCTTCAGGCATTTGACATCTAACATATTCAAAATACTGCATTTACTGACTGCAAACCCAAGAGGGTAGGAAGTATCCCTGTATCGTGGCTGGGGAAAGACGCCTCGATCCTGAGAAAGCTGCCCAAGGCCGCACCATTAGCGACCACAGCGCCCAGGCCCCGCTGACCGCAAGGCCTGCTCCGAGTACTTTGCCACCTTCCCCAACTTGCTGGGACTGTGATACGCATCGCACACACTCCAGCGTCGGGCTGTTTCTGGGAGCTCATGGTGTTCTGCTCCCAATTACCCAGAAAGCTGCCTCAGGTGGACAGGCCCCACACTCCTCTGGCAGACGTCAGCGGGCAGGTTTCCCGGGGAGCCGCCACAGGGGCCTTTCCACGGTAGGCAGCTCGGCGGAGCCCCAGGGCTTCTGTTGGTCCGCCCTGGGCCCGGGCAACGGCGGCCACGGAAGCAAATGGGCTGTGGTGGGAAATCATTTCCACGGGCTACTTCCCACCAGGCGCTGGCGCAACCGGTTAGCAGGGAAGGAAGAAGCGGCCCCTGCATACGCAGGGCTGGACGCAGCGCTCACTGTCGTTTGTGCCTCTATTCAGAGCCGCGTGGTACGGGCTCCGTGCCAGCCTGCAGACCGGGTTCTTTTCTTCCCCCAGTAGCACATGTGCATATTTGCTTTAAAGTGGGCAGAATTTGCCCACGGGTGGTCTTTGATTTGGAAGAAATCAACCTCAAAGCGGTGACTCACAAGAAACAAAGGTGGCTTGACTCACTCAGCGCTCGGGAAGGGGATGTGCGTGTGGAATCCACTTACCCAGAAGAAGAAGTTAAAGACGAAGAGTAAATACTTCAGGCAGACAATCAGCCAGTCATCCTGCTCCGTCTTGTAGTGGGCCATGCCTGCCGTGCCTGCAGAGAAGACACCTGTGTTGGGCCAGGGGGCCATGGAGAGCAACCTGCCCTTCCTGGAGCCCGGCACCTTGGCAAGTTCCCTTCAAAGGGCTTATGGAGGCTGTGGGTGTGCAACACGGAGTGAGGACCGGAGAGCAGCAAAGGCTGGGGACACCCTGTGGAGATGAACTTGGGCAGAATGCACTGGACCTTTGGATCCCAGTTTTGTCCTCTCGACAAAGGTCTAACCTACAAGTCGGCCACAGAGTTCGCACTGGCCTTACTGTGCTCTTATTCTCTTTCTGTCTCATCAGGACTGCAGGACACAAGTTTGCCTTTCCTGTACACACACACACACACACACACACACACACACACACACGCACGCACACACATGCGCGTGCACACGCTCAGCAGGGCTGCTCCGCATTGGAAACTTGTACTCTGCGTCCTGTGAACAGAACTCTGTATCCGCAGGCGTGGCACGACCCCACACAGAGCATCTGTTCGGGAAAGGACCTCAACCGCCGCCCAGCCCACCCCACCTGGGCCTGCACCTTGACTCTCCAGGCGAGGAAGCAGGTCCAGACAGGCCTGGTGGTTTGGCAGGGAAGTGCAAGAGCCTCTGGAGTCTGACTCCCTGTGTTCAAATCCTGCTCTGTCACCAGGTGAGTGATGCTTTGGGCAAGTTACACGATGTCCCATCCCTCTGTGTCCTTGTCCATAAATGGGGATGACAGTGACAATTTTATCATAGGGTTGAAGATTATATGAGGTAATCTATGCGAAGAGTGTAGCACAGTTTGGCACATAGTAAGTGTTCAGTAAACATCAGCTACTATTATTACATGTCACAGAGCAGGGACTAACACCTAGGACTCCAGTCCTAAAACTCCAGTCTCTGCCCAGCACCATCCTCCCACGCCTGTCCCAGCGCCCACTGGGGACCCTAGGAAGCAGGACACGCGTGGTGGTGAGGCGGAGGAGGCCCACAGTCCTATTTGCCTCGCAGCCCGTCTGAGCCTCCGAACTCTGACGCCTTTGACGTTCCTCTCCTTGAGCTCCGTGTACCCCTGGGCACCTGCACCCCAACACTCGCAGAGGAGCTGCCCTTTAAGAAATCGTCCCCATTTTGAAAACGTCTTTTATTTCCCAACCATAAGCAGTAACGAGGCCCTGGTGCTGCCCACCTCCATCCGTCCTCCGCCGCTCCCAGCCCCCGCTGGGCCCTCCTCCCCTCCCCGGCTGGGGCTGGGCCGGGCCCAAATTTCTTCTCTGAGCCACGGCTCTGCCTTTTATTTCAAGCTCCTGGGCTCCTGGAGACGGGAGGGAGGAAGAGAGAAAGAAAAGGTGGCTGTCTTATTTGGGATTTCTATTTGCAGACCTTGAAGAAGGTAATTTAAGACTTTTAGTCTTCTTGTTAAAAAAAGACAAAACCCATTTTTCTCCAATTTAGTCTGTGAGGCAGCGTGGTGGAAGAAATACAGGAGGAGAAGGAAAAGCAGCCTGTAAAAAATGGGGGTAGCGGCCGCCGGGCGATGCAACAGCAGCTGTTCCGCGCCCTTCTGCCCTGAGGAGAGGCCGGGGCAGCGTCCTCGGCCACGCGGGGCTGGGCACGCTGAGAGTGGGTGGCCTGTGGGCTCCTGCCACCAGCCACCTCCGGCCCGCAGCCAAAGGGCCTGAGGGGCCACTCACACCGAGGGGTCAGGCTGGAAAGGAAACTATATTTTTAAAAAAGAACCCCAGGCAGAAGACAGGACTTAACAAAGAGAAATATATTTCTAATGGCAACATTTCAGCCGTTAGCGGCAGAGAAGATAGAGCCACAGGATGCCAGGGCTGGGAACACCTTTGGGCTCACTTAACTCAACATTTTACAGAGGGAATGAGGAAGCTAGTATGTCTGATTCAAGACAGACTTTTAAATGACTTCTCTAAAGCCACAGGGATAATTGGTAGTCCCAGTTTCCTAACCCCCACTGTTCAGCACTCCTTCCCCCATAACACCCCCAACATGTGTGGGGTCCTGTGCTGGGGTGGCAGAGGCCCCAAAGAAGTGTCAGTACTGGCTGGGAGCCAGATGCCTGGATCTAAAAGCAAGCCTTGCCATTTACCTGCTGTGTGATCCTGGGCAAGTTACTTAACCTCTCTGTGCTGCTAACATTTGTTGAATATTATGTGCCAGACACAGAACTAAGTGCTTTGCCTACATTATCTTGATCCATCTCCCCAACACGCCTAGGAAGCAGGGTCATGCCCATTTTGTAAGACAAGAAAACTAAGGATCAGACGGTCACACAACCTATCCAAAGTCACCCAGCAAGTAAAGGGCAGAGCCAGAGCTGAACGAGGAGCCTCTGCCTCTGGGCTCAGGCCCTACACGGCTGCCAGGAAGGGAAGGCCAGAGACTGCTGGCCTTCCCGATATTTGCTCTCCCCTCTTCTTCAGGAATAGAACCTCTCAATGTTAGTTGGGTACGTGGCCACCTGGAGCAGATGACATTTCCTAGCCTCCCTCTCTGGTGGGTGCAGCCAGGATTAACTGCTGGCAGGCGAATAGTATACGGGCTGAAGTAGTATATGCAACTCTTTAGAAGTGTCATTTATTGGCTATGTTTCATGTGCATTTGAAAAGAATGTGAATCCTCCCATTGTAGGGTGCAGAATTTTATATGTGTCAGTTAGATAGAATTTGTTAATCACACTTTTCGCATCTTCTATGTCCTTACCGAATGGTGCCTGCTTGTGCTGGTGGCTGCTGGAAAAGGCATATGACAAGATTCCCATTATGACTATGAATCTGTCTATCCCCAATTTAATTCTGTTAAGTTTTTGATTCATATATTTTGCAGATATTTTACGGGGTACAAACAGATTTGGAGCTGTGATATCATTTTGGTGAATCAATTCCTTTATCATTAATAAGTGCCATTGTCTCTATTAACCAGAAGTATCTTTGAGGTGGGTGGGGCATGTCTCTCTTACTGTTGGGAGGAACACAGATGTCACGGCTGCAGCCGTCTTGAGCCATGGGCAGGAAACCGCAAGTTGAAAAGGGCAGAGCACGTGGAGTTCAGAGTCTGGGTCTCAGATGTTGGAGAGCTGCCCTGCCATCTCTGAGCTCCTGGCCTCCAGACTTAGTCTACATGAGCAAACAGCAAACCGGTAGCTTCTTTAAGCGACATGTTTGGATATGCTATTAGTCACGGCTGACTCCATCCTGCTGTGGTGGAGGGAGCAGTGGGTACAAGGTGTGTGAGATCATCACGTGCTGGGGCACTGCAGGTGGGGCAGTGAGACTAGATTGGAACAGTGTCACCAAGCTCTTTTGATGGTACACCTCAATTTATTTATGAATTTTATTCATGTACTACTATCCATATATAGTAAATATTCATCAAACCCTTATTTTGGCTTTTTTAAGGATAAAAATAATTAGGAATAGGGATTCTAGTAAGTTCTCCCTGCACCCTGGTGTACCGTCTGCCTCCACTTTGGAGACCACTGGTTCAGAGTGAGTGGAGGGGTGAGAGCTGAAGGTTGAGTAGGGTCAGATCAAGAACGGCCTCACATGCCAAGCTCAGGGGCTTGGGTTCGTGTCTTGAAGGTCATGCCGACGCCAGGAAGGCAGTGCTTAAGCCCAAGCAAGAGGCGAGGGAGAATGGAGAGCAGGGGACAGACAGCTGAGACGCGGAGGGAGGCCCCTGGTGGCAGGCAGTGTGCATGTGGGAGGCAGGGGACAGACCCCAAAGAGCTCTGCCTTCTAAGAAGGGAGTGAGCCGAGGACGAGGACACCAGGCAGGAAACTGACCTGCAAGGGAGCCGGTAGGAGAAGAGGTGCGGGATCCCGCAGCCAGGGAAGAGGGCAAGGGCCACAGTGCCACGTGCTGCCTAGAGGTCCCAGTCGCCTGAGGACTAGCGAGGGCTCACCTGTGCCAGAGCAGCATCCATGGAGGACTGATGGTGGGTGACGGATGTTCCAGGAGAGGGGAGGAAACGGAGACCCCAGGTGGGTATTTTAGGGCTGGAGGGAAGCAGCTAGAAGGCCAGAGAAAGGGAGTGCTTTTGTGTTGTCAAGAAGGGAGGCTCAGGCCCAAAGCCCAGGCACTTAGCTCTGCTGCCCCCGGGAAAGGGGATGGGTGCGGGGGTGAGATGGGGAGCTCCCAGCCCCTCCCCAGCTGTCCTAATGGCCTCCCCGCTCTAGGGCCTGTTGCACCCCGCCCGTTTGCCTGTTTACAGGGTGATACGGGATGGGTGTGGGAATGGCGGCAGCAGCCCCTGCAGAGCAGAGAAGCAAACACGTGCCACTCGATGTGGGCTCACCTCCCCCTGCCGGTGAATGGGGGCACCAGGGCTTGGGATAATCCCCGAAATCATTTCCACTGAGCTTTGAGGAGCGTCTTACGATTTCTGGGAAGCAGACTGGCCTTCCGAGGTGGGTGTTATTTCTGTTCCTAGGAGTTGGGAGTCGGACTTCCTGAACCACTGGGAGGAAGTGTCTCTAAGGGTCGAGAGGCAGACAGTGGGGGACAGGCACACCCACCCAGGGGGTGGTCAACACCTGGCGCAGAACCACGGACAAGCCTGGAGGACAGAGGAGAGGTGCCTGTACCCCCAGGTCCCCCACCTCAGCCAAGCTGACCTCTTCTTTGGCCTCTGAAAGGCATGTTTGGTTCACACTGCGCCCCGAATCTGACGCCTGCTCCTTTCTGCCCAGTGCTTCAGGGCTCAGAGGGCCCCGCCTTCCCTGCAAGTGACTCGGGTCCTTTCCAGCCCCTCGTTTCCGTCACCAGGCTGACCGATTCGACTCCAACTGAGATGGGGCGGTGCTGCTCGGCGCGGCCAGGACCCTTTCTCTGGCTCTGCCCTTCCTTATCGCCTTCTCTCGGGCCTGTGTTCCCGTCTGCGGGGTGGGGCAGTGGCTCTCTTGAGCGTGCATCAGAATTGTCTGGAGGGCTCATTAAAACCGAGATGGCTGGGCCCAGCCCCAAGGCTTCTGGTCATTAGGTTTAGGGTGACACCGTGGAGAATTTGCTCCCAGACAGGGTGACCACTGACCTGGATTCACCCAGGACAGAGGGATTTCTTGGAATATGGGAGTACTGTTCAGTGTTGAGCCTGGGCAGTCCCAGGAAGCCAGACGGTGGTCACTCTACTCCCAGACGCTGCTGGTCCCAGGACCACGCTTTGAATCGTCAATGTTCGTTAAGGCCCCTTCCAGTTCTGAAAGTCCCCGCCCTGCCACGTAAGCATCCTTCCGTCTGAAGCAGACATAGCTGAGCCGGGCGGGGCGCGAGGGCGGGCCTGTCCCTGCACACAGACGCAGTTGGAACACAGTTCCCAGGGACACGTCACAGATTCCCCAGACTGCCTGACAACAGGCCCAGGGGGCCTTCTCCTCCAGGCCTGGCTTCTGATGGAGAACAAAGCTGGGACTCAGGGGCAGCCGGCAGGCCGGGGGCCTGCTAATGGCACAGTCAGGACCCGCCACGGGACAGCTCAGAAAAGCAACCGCAAATGCCTTGCCAGTGAAGTGATGAATGTGGGGGACTTTCATCGCGGCCAGATGTGTAGTGTCACGGGCTGTGACACTTGGGGATTTGCCCCTGCCCCAAGTGAACGAGGCTTGGGGCGCGGAGGAGATGAGTAACACGTAGGAAGGGCCCGCCGGCGGCCAGCAGGGTCTGGCGAGCAGGACACTCTCCGGCCGGGACGTGCGCAGGAGCAGAGGCCCCCACTGGGCTGAGGGCCGGTGGGCAGAGCCGCGTCCTGTCGTGGTGGTGGGCGGCAGGGCGTGGGGAGTGCTTGGGAGCTGACGTAATAAATTGTGCTTAAATACAAGGCACTGTCAGGCCCTGGCCAGCTGCATCCTTCACTCCCTCCACAAACACGCACTGAGTCCCCTGTGTGCCAGGCTGGTGCTTGGAACCCCCAGACATGCTCCGTGCAGAGCACACAGCAGACCGTGGGGCGTGGGGCATGGGCATACCAATAACTTCCAGACCCTCCGGACAGGGCTTCCAGACAGATGCTGGTCAAGCCTGAGGGTAGCACAGAGGAAGTGGCGTCAATTCCACCAGACTGGGGTGGCAGGGGCAGTGACAAAAGGGAGGGACATTTAATCTGGTCCAGGAGGACAGGCAGGGTTTCTGTAGGTAGCAAAGGAGGTGGGGCTGACCAGGCAGAGGGGACAGTGGGCACTGGCCTGGAGTGGGTGGTAGGAAGGGCTGGGAAATCAAGCTAGGGCCTAGAACTCTCTGCGGCCACACTCAGTTGGGACTTTTTCCCCCTCGCCCATACGCTCGACTCCGGGGACCTCACCCACTGCCTGTCCTCTGTTCATTCCCATTAGCAAGACCCAGGTTGGGGTACCCTGACTCTCCATTCCCTGATGGGAGAGCAGCCACACCCGGGGGGGGGGGGTTTCTGGGGAGCTTGGTGCTTCTGAAATGAAAACGACATGCATATTTCACCTAACATGACATCCTCCATGTTCATCCATGTTGTCACAGGCAACAGGATGTCCCTTTTTCAGGCTCAGTAGTATTCTACCGTGTATGTATGCCACATTTCCTTTGTTCACAGTAAGTTCCCTGTCGCGGCTACTGGGAGCAGTGCTGCCGAGAGCACGGGCAGCAGGTCCTCTTCCACACGCTGACTTCGTTTCCTTTGGATAAACACCCAGCACTGGCTTCTGTTCGGTGAAATCAACCAGGCACGGAAAGACAAACATCTCACGACCTAACTCACAGGCGGACTCTCAGAAGCGGGTCTCACAGCGACGGAGAGTAGAATGGAGGTTCCGGGGGCTGGGGTGTGGGCGGGGGTGCGGTGGGGAGATGCTGGCCAAAGGATACAGAATCTCAGTGAGATAGCAGGAATAAGCTTGAGATGTATTTTACAGCGCAGCAACTATAGTTAGTGATATATTGCGTTTTTGAAAAGTGGTAAGAGTGGATGTTATGCCTCTCACCACAAAAATGATAATCATATGAAGTACTACATATGTTAGTTAGCTACATTTAGTCATTCTGCAATGTATATGTGCTTCAAGTCATGTTGTACACAGCGGATGCATACAATTTTATCTGTTGGTTTAAAAAAGAGAACAAAAAGAATCCTCCCCCCCAAACTAGCGTGTGTTTGCTATTGGAAAAACCAGACCCCACCTCACCCCACCCCTTCAATTAAATAAGTGCCAGTTTCCAGCTCTGAGTACTTAGCCAACAAGAGGTCATGCCTGCACAATGGCCAAGAACAGCTGGAAAGGAAAAAACAGTCTAAGTGGCTGAATTTATAACTTAATTTCTTTCGGCTTCTAATGAAACATGGTTATAGTCCTGCATGGTCTATTTTCTTTCCTCATGCAACACTGTCCTTCTTTGCCCTTGTTTCCCTCTTATTCAGTTTCCACTTGCCTAACCCATTTTTGGTGGGTAGACAGTGTAGACAGTGTGTCCTTCTGAAGCAGTCAGAGAAGGGGGACTTCCTCAGCCCCTTAGAATGGGACAGCTGGGAGGAGCCAAAAGGATGCCTAGCTCAGCCCCTGTGTCTGAGAACAGGGTGGGGAGGGACCCTGGGGAGGGGGAGGGGAAGGTCACACTGCAGTCAAAGTCACACTGCAGATTGGTGGCAGGGCAGGACCTGCTCTCATGTCTCCCAGGCTAATGGTCTCTCGATGGCAGTTAATAAGATTTTCATTGGCTGATATACTACTAATAATAAACAACATATTTACTAAATGCTAACTACATGCTAGGCACTAAGTGCTGTATGTGCATTAATAAATGTATTATAATACTTAAAATAATGCCACGATGGATTATGGCAGTTTGGCAGTATGGAAGCAGTTTCTGCTTTTGTAGAAGCAGAAACTGAGGCACACAACAGTATGTGGCAAGCCAGACACGTGAGATATATGCAGAGCCGATGTTTGGCTTTTCCCTGGGCAGGTTTAGTTGTGGTTTCTTGCAGCTTCTTTTAGCTTGGTGGTCTCTGATGGAAGCTAAGAATGAGGGATCTGCCTGGCCAGAGAACCCAGTTGGGAGCTGCGGGAGGGGGCAGGGCCAGTGTCCTCTGGCTCTGGCAGGATCCTGGCAGGATCCCACATGGCTGTCACTACAAAGAGATCAAATGCTTGGGGAGGCCTCTGGAGGGAACCTCACCCTTCTCCCTGGTCCTCTATCTCCTTGACTCTGAGACCAGGGATCCAGCGGCTGCTAGCACCACGTGAGACACAGGCTGGCCTGGGGTCTCTGGGCAACCACTGGCCTTTTCTTTTATACCAATGTGTTTGTTGTGTGCAGGTAAATGAATACAGGCAGCTCTTTTGGACAAAACAGGGTTTGATTGCTAACTATAGAGTCTTGTGGATGGGGCTGTAGGCAGAACTTGAATTAAAATCCTAGCACTAGGAATTCTTAGTCTTTATACCCTAAAAGATATGTTTTCCTAAGTATATGGCTATATTTTGCTTCATCTGCAAGCCCCACATTGTGCTGTATGTACTTGTCAGGTGAGTGGTTTGGCATGTCCTTGTTCCCTATGTGTGTGACACACAGAGTCTCTGGAGGGTCTGCCTGTAGACAGGCATCGCCTTTTGCTGTGTTTGTTCTAGGTCCTTTTTCTCCTTTTTTAAAATTGCAGGCTGACCTATGAAATGAGGACTTCTCCAGTACTTGTGACGAGCATCAGTAGTCTGCAGGCCAAGAAGATCTGGGTGTGAACACAGCTGCCACCTGCAGCAGCGTGGCCTTGGAGCCTCGGCTTCCTCCTGTGTGGAGTGGAGACGCGGCCGGGCTGCCTCGTCCCCCGCGTGGTGGCTGTGAGGCTGCAATGGCATGAGGACTGGCAGGAACTGTGTGCCCTGCAATCGTACGGCTTCCGTGCCAGACGACGGCAAAGGAACACTTAAACCCAACTTGCTGAGAGCTTCCCGAATGAAGGGCGATGGGAAAAGGGCAGGTAACCCTAAATAATGCACCAGCCAGAGCCTGTCTGTGAGGGCCAAGAATGCAGTCTCAGGGTCTCTGCCCCTCGGCCCACCCTGCCTGCTGGTGGACTCCACCCAGATGGTCATGAGAGGAGACCCTGTTTTCAGGTGACCACGAAGAATCCACTTGCAGAAAATAAAGACATTAATTTAACAAAATAGATTGGTTCAGACAGGAAAGTGGTGGGGAAAAAAGGCAAGAGCTGTAGTGAACATTAAGCACCTAATCTCAACACGTCATCCAGGCACTGCAAAGGAGCATGCTTGGTGGGGTGGGAAGAGGCACCCCAAGGCAAGGCTGCAGCCTGGGTGCCCACAGGGTGGGGCTCCACCAGGCAGCACCAGAGGGCCTCTGTCATCCCACGGGGCTAATGAGGTCACTGAATCCAGAACGTGATGGCTGTCTTGGTGCTCGGGTCACCCCTAGACACTCCTTCCCTTCTCACCAGCACCTCCCCCCCCCAACCTCCTGCAAATTAAGGAGGGCCAGGCTTGAACCCAGGGACCTGGGTTCTTGTCTGTTTCTAACTTGCTCTGTGCTTTGGGCTTCAGTTCTTGTCTACAAAGCTGGAATGAGTAACTTCCTTACTAGAGTGGGTGAAGATGCTGCCTCATTCCAAGACATACTCCCTGCACAGTGGTTTCTGACCATTTCTGCATCACATAAAGCTCTGTGTATTTCACTGCGTGCCTAGTAGTAACAGTGGCTAATGTGTGTCGATCAAGTGCCGTGTGCCAGCGATGGTTCTAAGTACAGCTGTCCCTCGGTACACTCGGGGCATTGGTTCCAGGATGCCCAGCATATACCAAAATCCGAGCACACTCAAGGGCCACGCATGGCCCTCCATATATGCAGGGTGCAGCCGTCGAATACTTTATTTTCAATCCATGTTTGGTTGAAAAACATCTGTATATAAGTGGATGCATGCACTTCAAACCCCTGTTGTTCAGCGGTCAACTGTACTTTCTAAGCATTATCTCTTTTAAGCCTCACTACAACCCTGTGAGGCAGGCAGCTCACCATCCCCACATCACAGAAGAGGACAGGGAGACAGAGGTTAATTCTGGTGTACACCTGCTGTCTAGACATAATTATGTCCCAGGTTAGATGTTAAATCGTGGCTCTTCATTATGTTACACTGCTCATCAACAATAGCCAATAACACTCCTGAAGCTCTGAATCTTTCTGCCCCATCCCCTCCACACTACAGGTTTCTCCGACTCACTTCCTGCTCTGACAGCCCACAGCCATCAAACCCTATATGAAGCCCCCTATTATCTGATAAAATCTGTGCTGAGTTCTGGGTCCTAAACACCTGGCACAGCACCTGATGCATGGTGTCAAATGTGAAATGAATGAGTGAGTGACTGAGCAAATGAACAGGTGCACTAAGGAGCCATGAACGCTCAGGAACTCTGAGAGTACACAAATGCTTCTCCCCCACTCATGCTCTCACCAAGTTCTCCAAGAAACCTAAGTCAGAGATAACAGAAAGGAGAGAAGCAAAACTGACACCATCACTTCTGCAGCCTCTGCCTATGTGGACGTGCGGGGTGCGTTTCTGCAGCGATGGGTTCAATGCGGGCATCAGCCAGCGCTCCCAACAGGGCCTCGTGGGAAGGCCTCGCACCAGCCAGCCCGGGGAGCTTCCGTGGTCTTTTCTCCCCAAGCTTTCTCTGCCTTCTCCACATCCTCCTCTCTTTCCCCTAGTCTTTTAATTTCAGCCTCAGAAGAGAAACACAGACCTATGTCCATCATACATCAAAGCAGAAAATCCTTTTGAAATTAATTCAAACAAGGCACAAATGGGAAGAGGACAGTTCCCTTGATGGGAAACACCAGGGCATAATCAGGCACTTCCTAGAGGAGTCAGACCTCAGCAGAAACCCACAAGAGGGGCAGCTTTGACAGATGTAGAAATGAATACGCATTCTGCCCCCACTCCAGCCCCACGGCCTCTTTTTCTTCCCTTTGCTATGGCCCTTAAAATGGATCCACAGCAGAAGCTGGGAAAGCCCAGAGCCCCGAAGGCCACCACCAGTGGGATCTCAGTGTGGACAAGCACCAGTGGCTCCCTTCTCCTGCTGCAGAACTCGGCACCACAGCAGAGCTGTTCCAGCCCGAGCACCTCGTGTGTTGGCTCTGAAAGTAGCTCATTAAAGAAACAATGCCAGATCCAAGGAAGGCAGGTCGTCCTGCCTCTGCTTCAAAAACGTATGACTTCTTAGCCATGGAGACAGGTGTTTTAGGGCCCCGAGAAGCCATCTCTGGTTCCCCACACCTCCCCCAGACGCTGCCCAGTAGTTTGAAACCCCAGCTCCCTGCAGCCTCGGCCATAAATAGTGGTAGGGGCCTGCATCTGGGCCAGATTTCTCATTTAATTGTCTCATAACTCAGTGAGGCAGGTGCCTTCACCTCTATTTTATAGACGAGGAGGCTAAGGCTCCTCCGACAGACTCAGGAATAAGCCCAGCTGTTACTGATGTCAAAGTTGAGGACACTCAGGTTTGGGCTTTCAGATGGAAAGGCTTTGAGGTGGAAAGAAAAGCCACCCGCATCCAGAATCGATTTCTCTGTCCAGACTGTCCTTGGAGCACTGAGCTACCACTTGAGAAGCCGCTCAGAGCAAGGATGGAGGTTTCCGGGGTGACCCATTCAGGGTGAGCTCAGGATCTGTAAGGCAAAGAGCAGTGGCAGCAGGAAAGCCCAAGAGCCCAGGATGTTGGGGTTCAGCAGAGGGTGAGATGTGGCTGAGACACAGACAGGCAGCCGCATCACCCAGCTCCAGGGGGAGCTATACACATCACGGTGCATGTGAATGCCTGCCCTGGAATTGTGCAGTGCACAGTCTGTGCAGGTGTACACAACTGCCTTGCAAGTGCCCAGCTGCTCATTTGACAAGCTGTGCATCTTCCTTCTAGCTCTCATTTTCAGTAGACCAGCACTCTTCCTTACTACCCATCTTTCCCTGCCAAGCCTGGGTGTCTTCCTTTTGATGGGGCCAGCTGGGTGAAATCCTGACTTTTATTGGAAGTTGCCAACCAGGGACAGGGCAGTGCAGTATATAGTGGATGAGCAGGTAAGGCAGGTGTCTAAGGGTTGGGCTGCTCAAGTCCAGTGAGGGTGGACATTTGGGAGCTGGTACACCTGGCCCAAAAAACACATGGGTCCCTTTAAACATGTAAGTCTTTTTTTTAATTTCAGCATATTATGGGGGTACAAACGTTAAGGTTATGTACATTGCCCTTGCCTCCCCTCCCCCCTCAAGTCAGAGCTTCAAGCATGTCCATCCCCCAGACGGTGTGCATTGCACTAACACGTAAGTCTTAACTGCAATCAGTAGGTAGATATCCTCCCCTTTCTTCCAGAGGATGGGAGATGACATTAAACTTAAGTTTGATTCATAAGGTAATCAAGACTGCCAGTGGTCTCCCCAAAGTTGCTCTCCTCTTATTTCATTATAATGGAGCTGCAGCTGGGTGTGTGGCCACCTACCCAGTGACTATATTTCCCAGCCCTCCAAGCAGCTAGGTCAGCCACATAGTAGTTCTTGACAAGGTGACATGCGTGGAAGCACCACTCTAGGCCTGGATCTTAAAACACTGCCCTTGCACATTGACATACTCTTCCCCTTCCTGAGAGCTGGGACGCAGATGTGTCTGGAAGCCAGCTTCAACCACGCAGGAAGGACACCACCTCACAGCAATAGTCCTTAAACTTAAGGGCACGTTAGAATCAGCTGGAGAGCTTTCAAAAACAGAGTGCTTGCCCCACCCCTGGAGACTGTGATTGAGTAATTCTGGGTCAGTGCCTGAGAATTTATATTTCTCACAAGTTTCCAAGTGATGTTGATGTTGCTGGTCTGGGGAATAACACACTTTGAGACCACACACTTGGTCCTACAGTGTTGTCCCAGACCCTTGCGGATGGAAGAGAAACAAGATGGCATGAGCCTGGATCCCTGTATGACTCTGTGGAGCAGAACAGCTTGCCTCCCTGGACTGGTACATGAGAGAAAATGAAAAAACTGCTTTGTTCTTTAAGCCACTGTGCTTGGGTGTCTGACACAGCAGCTCAGTCTTTGCTCTAACAGAATCATATTCCTGGAAGTCAGAGTCTCCTCCAACTCTATGAATGCCCCTCTCAAAAAAGAAGAAAAAAACAAGCCTATTCTAGCTCCACCTCTAGGAGCAACAAATTAGCCCTTAATCAGACTAGTGTACAGAGCCAGGATGCCATCTCAGCTGTAAGATTCCAAAGCTCAACCTAATCACGATGCATACTGTTTCTCAAGTCACCCACATTTTCCTGGATCCTGTCTCCCTCTGAAGTTACTGCCAGATCTTTCTTCCTCTGCAGCTTCACTTCCTCATCCAGTCATCCTGTGCCCCACGACTGTCTGACCTCCTCCACCACTCTCCTCATCCGAAGTCACTTCTAACTGCCAAAGCCAAAGCTGGCTTTTCAAACCTCCTCCTGCTTCACTTCTGCTGAATCTGAAACCCTGATCACACCTTCCTTTCGAAGCTCTCTCCCCACTGCTTGTTTCATGGTACCACTCGCGCCTGATTCTTCTCCTGCGTCTCCAATTTGCCTTAACCTGAACGTCACGGCCACCGAGACTCTGACTTTGTGCTCTCTTCCTCTGCGTCATCAACTGCTCCTCTTCTTGGCTCGCCCCTGAGGCTGGCACTTCCACCAGGGTGAGGTGGGGACATTCTTGTCTCTCCTTTGCCACCCCTCTTCCTGCCAACTCCATGTACCTCCAATAAGCCGATGACTCTCAAGAGCCTGCCGAGCGTGGGCTCACCCCATGGCTGCAGGGCCCTGGTACCCAGCGCACAATGAATACCGAGTCAGCATCTTCCCCGCAGCTTGCCGTTGTGTTCCCGGCCCCGGTGCACTCCGTCCCCGTGCAGTGCTCCTCCCTCTTTCTCAGTGTCACCACTCTCCACCCCAACACTCGCCGCTTCACCAAGGCGGCCCCTACTGCAGCTGTCCAAGAACACCCTGCGGATCCGCCCATTCCTGCCATTCCTTTCTTCTCACTGCTGCTGCCTGTCTTAGGCCCCTCCTCACTCATCAGTGCAGTGCTCTGGTTGGTAGTTGATGTATCTGTTCCTCCCCCCGCCCCCAAGATTAACTGGTTAATTTATCTATTAATTCATTGAACACCTGAGGCCTCACTATGAGGCATACAATGTGCTAGGTGCTGGAGATCCCAGAAAAAAAAAAGGAGGAAGAAAAGAGAAGTGTTGGGTGCACGCCTGTGTAGTTCCGGCCACCTGGAAGGCTGAAATGGCAGGATCGCTTGAGCCTAGGAGTTCAAGTGTAGCCTGGGCAACAAAGTGAGACCTCGTCTCTAAAAACAGAAAAAGAGAAGAGAATGAACGAAGCTGTCCCTGATCTCAAAGAGCTCACAGCTGGGGAGACAGACACATCACCATCACTTTAACACTGTGTACGGAGTTCAAGGAGAAAAAATGTATACAGGAGTGCTGAAGAGGGAACTAGGTATGGGCATGAGTTGTAAACGATGAGCAGGAATTCGGCACAGACAGCGATGGAGAAGGTGTATGCCAGGCTCAAGATTTTGGATTTTATTTTGTAAGTAATAGGGAGCCACTGGACTTTCTGATCCCAGGACTGAGAATTAGAGTCCCGACTTTTGAGGTTAAGCTAAAGACACTGAAATGACTTAGTGAATTATACAACAAGTCTGGGGCTGGGCGATGAGCATTCATTTAAAGGAACCCTAAAAACACACTGAAGAGCCCAGTTCCCTGAAGAGAGAATCTGGCACGTGTTAATCGTTCTCCTGTGGTTCTGTAAGACCACAGCAGAGAAAAGTCAAGGGCTGTCCGGCCCCACCCAGGGCAGACCAGGTCAGCTGGCCCAGGCTCCAAAACTGCAGGGGTGGAGCCAGCTAGAGGAGGAGGGGCAGGATCGTGAGAAGTAAAGCCTGCAGCCCACCCAGGAAAATCCTGCCTCTCTGCACTAAGAGCACAGGGTTTTAATTTTGACACACTGGGTCTCAAAAAGACCTTTCAAAAAGAACAATGCATTGCCTAATATACTTACGGCTCCCTCAAACATCAGCTTAATTGTAGTGAAGAATGCAGTCTAGAACTTTTCCCACACTCAGAGAAGGACTTATATTATAATTTCCCCCATCTTCTTGAATGAATGGATCTACGATTTCCACAGAGAAAGAGCTACTCTTTCCTTCCCCCGTGAGGAGACAATTGTCTGAGGCCCGTCCGGGTGGAAGCCGCCTGCTCATCACCCCGAGTGGGGAGAATGTGGTTGGGGCCAGGCTGTGCCTGGATCCCGGGGGGGTGGCGCAGGGGCCCAGGGAAGCCCCGTGCCCCGTGAGCACCCACAGAAGGGCACTGCCGCAGCGATGCGGGGCTGTCCATTGACAGCGGTGTTTGCAAAGCCGCACCACATGGCTGGGGGTCTAGATTCAGGAGTTCTCCTTCTCCTTGCCTGCACCTGGGCAAGTCAGCACCCACCCTGTGCCTCAGTTTCTTTATCTGTAAGATGAGAGTGTTAGTGTTCTAGCAGGAGATTCCTCCAAACAAATTTTTATGTAGAACCTCAACATATAAAACAGATAAGGTGGAGCCTTTCTGGTTGAAGGGGTGTGTTGAGCCCTCCCGCTTCATTTAAGCTCCTCCGACCACCGTCTCCCCTCCCCCACCCACCCCAAAGCCGGCACCGCAAAGAAACCCAGCGCTAGCACTCTGTGAGACCAGTGACGGCTGCCAGCTTTCTCATTCTTCAGTTGCACAATGTCACCCCACACTTATTTATGGTCAAAATGAGCAAGGGGAGAGCTAGGACCATATCACACACCCACTAGACACGTTTAGAGCTGCAAGTGACCTCTGAGAAGCCCTTCACTTTACAGACAGTTCAGCTTCTGCTGACCTCCGCCTGACCCCAACCCTACCCCATTTCTTTCTTTTATCTTTTATTGTGATAAAATACACATAACATAAGTTACCATTACAACCATTTTAAAGTGTACGATTCAATGCCATTAAGTACATTCCCAGTGTTGGGCAACCCCACCACCATCTTGCTTCAAACTCTTTCATCACCCCAAGCCCATTAAGCCATCACCCCTCATTCCCCTCCCCCCAGCTCCTGGAAAGTGCTTATCTGCTTCCCACCTCTATGGATTTGCCTGTTCTTAATACTTCACACCAACAGAATGACAGGTCTTCGGCCTCTGGCCCCTCTCACTCAGCACAGCGCTTCCAAGGCTCATGCATGCTGTAGCATGGATCAGCCCCTCACTGCATGCACAGACCACCTTTGCTTACCCACTCATCTGCTCACAGACATTTCAGCCGTTTCCATCTTTGGGCTACTGTGAATGAAGCTGCCATGAACATTCATGCACAAGTTTTTGTGTGGACACCTGTTTTGAACTTCTTTGGGTAACACTGAGGAGTGGAATTGCTAGGTCATGTGGTGATTCTGTGTCTAACGTATTGAGGCCCTGCTAACCTGTCCTCCACAGCCCCACCCTGTGTTTTGGATATGGCATATGCTGCAGGGAAGTGGCACCCTGTCCCCCAGGAAAAGGTAGGAGCCAGGGCAGCCTGCTGTGTCTGCCGCTCCAGGCTTCAGCTCCCTGGTACTTGCTCCAATGACAGGGATGAGAATGTAGCCTGTGAGTAGTCCTCACGTTAACTAAAAGGCAGGTACTTCAGAGATAAGCAAACTCACTCAAGGACATGCAGCCCTGTCTGGAATACAAGCCCCTGCCGGCCCACTCCCTACACTGCTCTGCAGGGCCTGGAGACGCCCTGGTGCCGTCCTGCTCAGGCTCCTGGGGCCTGGCCCTCAGGAGCGTGTCCTAGGCTGCTTTCCAGGTTCTGTCGCTGCACCGGGCTTCCCTGATCAGCATCCAGCTCCTACTTGCTGAGGCCCTAAGGCCTCTCCAGCACGTGCGGACTCACACCATTGACACAGCTTTCTGGACCCCATACTCAGCCCAGGGAAACAGAGCCTTGATCAGCTCTTTGGAGCCTGCGCCCAGGACTTGTGGTCTGAGTCCGTGTGACGACAGCAAGGCCGGCACCGCTGCCGACGACAGACAGGTCCAGCGCGGAAGGCTGTATCGGGTCGGTTCACTCTGCCCTCAGGTGCAGAGTCCAGACTGAAGCCTATGAAGCAGGTCTCCCTACCCTGCTGCCCAGCCATGGCTGGTCCGGCCAGCGGCCCCCTGGGGGCTGGTGCTCTGCAGAAATTCAAGAAGGCCCGAAGGCCGGGTGAGTATCCGGCATCCACCGTCCCCCAGGGAGCCGGGCAGACACGGACACTCCGGGCCCAGTGGGCCTCCAGGCTTGGATTAGGACTCAGACTAGAGCCGGAGGCCCACGGGCATCTCCGCTGGGGGCGGGGGCAGGGCGAGTGTTCGCTGCTGAGTGTGAGGTGTGGAGGGAAGGGGAACAGGACGCGGCTCCTCGAGCAGTCTAGAGGATGGAAGGCACTCCAGGCCCCAAATCAACAATGATCCTGGCTCTCAGACTCATTCTGAACCAAAGCCTCACTACCAGGCTTGACGCAGGGCCCAACTACACCGCTGCTCTCCCCCAGGGCGGGGTCCCCAGAGCTGCCCCCCAGGTCCATAGCTGCAGCTACCATTTGCTTGACAATTTATGGGAGCTGGTTGGGAAACGGTGCTGGTTGGAGCCTGCAGAGGACACCCATAAGCCTAGGGAAGAGGTCCTCTAGGGGCGGCTTCTGCACGGTCCTGAGTATAGGCGGGGGGGGGGGGGGGGAGGGGGAGTGGGGCAGCTTTTCTCCCCCCACCCTGCCCGGTGCCAGGAAGAGGGAGCTGGAAGAGTGAACATACACATGAGCCTGGGTCTCTGATGTTTGGTTTGAGGGGTGGGCTGTCACATACATGGGGGGAAAATTAATGTCACCTTCACTGGCTGTAGGGCCTTGGGTAGGTGTCATCTAACCTACCTGAGCCAGTGTCCCCTGCCCAGTGGGGCTAAGAGGGTGAGGATCGCTGAGATAGTGACAGTGATGGCCGAGGCTGAGTCTGAATTCAGTAAGCGCTGGGTGGACATGCAACTGCCCCTCCCCAGCATAGAAGCAGTGGCACCCAGCACAGGATGGCAGTTGGTACCTTCTGTGGCTCTGGCAGGGACCAGCTAGGCTGGAAGGGAGTTTGCCTTGGGGTAGAAGGGGTGGCTCTCCCACAAAAGCCTTCACTGTGGCACACATCATTTCATGCTTACGTATATTCGCAACCTGCTCGCTGGGAATCAGAAAGGCACAGACATTCCTGGGCAGGTGGCAGGAATTGAAAAAAAAAAAAAAAAGCCTAAATGACTTAAAAACTCATCTCCTTTCCCAGACAGGGGGATTTGTACAATTTCTCATTTGCTTTCAAAATAAGTCTCCAGAACAGTATGCCATGGCTTAGTAGTAAACCTAAAAGATCATTCCTTCCAGGGAGTTATAACTTAGGGGCCCTGAAATTGTATGAAAA